GCACAGAGACTCCACTCCCTGGGACATGGACTTGGCTGAAGTGAGGGCCCACTTTGTTCCCGGAACAGGAACTGGGAAGCAGGGTTGAGGGAGGTGCAAGAGCTGGTCTACCTCAGAGCTGGACTGAGTGTGGAGTCAGAGAAGGTGCCCATTCCCAGAAATTGCTGCTGGAGACCAGTGTACACAGGTGTGCAAGTGTATGTACAAGTATGTATGGGGTGTACACCTGCTCACTACTCCCAGTAGGACCGGCTCTTCCTTCTAAGTGGTGCTTCTGGGGCCACAGGAAGCCAGTGTTACTGCCTTTGTGTACACACACACACACATATACACACGCACGTGTGCAAAAACATACTTCTGGGCCTTCTGGAATGTGCTCTGGCTAGTGGCTGCTCTGCCCTCCTCTTGAGGCTTCTGAGAATCCAAGTTCCATTTCTGAAGTGAACCTATTTGCTGTCCCTTCCTCTGCTTATGAATCCAGTTGATTCCGTCATGGATGAACACTGGTTTTCAGATGACAATAAAGCTGTCTGGAGCTATAGAGTTTGCACACATATGCTCTAAAGGCTCAGACTGGGTCCAGAAGACACATCAAACTCCTTTTAATGTGGGTTTACACAAACTAGGACCTTAGAACTCAAGTTTTAATCTGATTGTATTCTGGCTCAACTCTGCCCTTATCTATACCATCATAACCCTAAGCAACACTTCAAGACATTCTAGTCAAGAACTTGTGACCAACCCATACATTCATGGGCAACTGATTTTCAACATGGGCGCCAAGACATTACAATAGGGAAAAAATTGTCTTTTCAACAAATGGTGCCGAGATAAGTATATAGTTCAATGTAGAAGAATGAAGTTGGACCCCTATCTCACACTGTATTAAAAAATGAACTCAAAATGGATCAAAGATCTGAAGGTAAGAGCTGAAATTATAAAACTCTTAGAAGGAAACAGGTGTAAAATTTCAGATCTTTGAGCCAGGCAATGGTTTCTTAGATATGATATCTAATGCATAAGCGACAATAAGAAATAAATCAACTGGGCTTCATTAAAATTAGAAACTTTTGTCCTTCAAAAGGATACTACCAAGAAAGTGAAAAGACAACTCATAGAATAGGAAAAATATTTGCATATCTTATATGCAAATATTATCATATATCTGATAAGGGTCTAGTATCCAGAATATATATTGCTCTTACAATTCAATAATAAAAAGACAACCCAATTAAAAAACAGGCAAAGGATATTAATAGATATTACTCCAACAAAGATATACAAATGGCCAGTAAGCACATAAAAAGATGCTTGATATCATTAGAAAGTAGTGAAGTACAAATCAAAATCACAGTGAAATACTACTTTATATCCACTAGAATGGCTATAATAATAATAAAAAAAAAGACAGAATAACAAATGTTGGCAAAAATGTAGAGAAATCGGAACCCTCATCTACTACTAGTGGAGCTTTAAAATGGTGCAGCCTCTGTGGAAAGTGGTTTAGTAATTCCTCAAAGTTAAACATAAGGTTTCTATATAACTGAGGAATTCTACTCATGGGTATATACCCAAGAGAATTAAAAATATATGTTCACACAAGAACTCGTACATGAATGTTCTTAGCAACGTTATTCATAATAGCCAAAAGGTGGAAAACAACTCAACTGATGAATAGAAAACTGTGGTATATCCATGCAATGGGACATTATTCAGCCATGATACATGCTACGACATGGGTAAATCTTGAAAATATACTATATGAAAGAAGCCAGTCACAATGGGCCACATACTGTATGATTCCATTGATACGAAATGTCCAAAACAGGTAAATCCATTGCTAATGGGTAAGGGGTTTCCTTACAGGGTGATGAAAGTGTTCTTGAACTAGTAGTGATGTCATACAATCTTGTGACTACACTACAAACTATTGAATTGTACACTTAAAAATGGTGAATCTTATGGTATGTAAATCATATCTCAATAAACAAAAAAGTAACCCATCAGAGAAAGGTGTAAATGTGTTTGTGGAATAGTTATGAGGGAGGCAGGTGGGTGCTAGTTCTTGCTCTATGGCCTCATCTAAAAACAGACTGAAAAAAATCTAGGAGTGAAACTTGCAGGGAGTAGGCAATGATGAGTTCTGGAAACAAAGGGCTAACTTCCATAGGCAAAGAAGGAAGGGACATTCGCTAACCGGTTGTATGTGTCCAAACCACTGTAACAGAATGAGGCCATCTCCTAAAATGAACTAGGGAGACAGATTTTTGACATATGTGTCCTGCAAGGTCCCAGCTCCTCATGGGCTCCTGGGAAGTGGTGAAGTGGGTGATTAAAAGCAGGGCTCCAGAATCCTTCTTGCCTTGGTTAGCACATTGCCAAGTGCCTTACAACAGATACCTAGAGTTCACAGATTTAATTCCCTTATCTATAAAATAGGCATGGTAACAGCACTCACTTTTATGATGGTGACAAAGATTAAATGAGATAATACAGGTAAAATGCTTAGCAGAGTCTTGCACAAGTTAAGGACTCAATAAATGTTAACCTCGATTTGTGATTGTAGCTGTTTTTATTATCATTGATAAGACTGCTTAGCCTCCATGTACACAAATATAAAAATCTAAGGAAAGGAGCAGAATTATGGAAATGCTCACCAGAATTACCAAAATGGTTATCAGTTCTAAATGAATCCTAATCTATAAGAAAGATTTTAATGACAGAGCAGACTGGGTGTTAGAGTAAACTTAATGCCTAAAGAAACACCACCAAACAGCAAGAAGCTTATGTGATAAATCAGAGCTTCCACCAAATCAAAACCAAGGTCAGGGTGAAATCAAGTTCACGGAGCTTCACCAGAATCAGTTCTGGTCTTCAGCTCCCAATGAGAAGAAGAGAGCCTGGTATATCAAGTGGAAAAAGTGCTAGAGATGAGATTTTGAAGGAAAGGCAAAAGAAAAAAATTTCAAAAATTTTGAAGGAAATGCAACGTAAAAATGAAACAGTGAAACTACTATAGCCCTTTCACTTCTGTCTGGCTCAGGGCAGTGTTTTTCAAAAACCTTCTGTTCAAAAATTTTAGAACTCTGTACTTTCATTTAGAAAACAATATGAAAAAGTACATGTAATACACACACACACACACACGTGTGAAATAAACAGAAAGCTTGGCCTGGAGAATTTGGATGGCCACCTTATAGAAAACCCTTGCCACGTGGTTCTGAGCCTCTGGTTTTCCTGATCACGTGGACTATCATGTTGGTTCTTTGTGGTAATATTTGGCAGTCAAGGACCACTAATAAATGCACAAAGGTGGGCTGCAACACGCTAAGAATCATTTCCCTCGAGGGAAGGCCTCATAACGACATCTGACAAATATTAGTAACCAGGTTTTGCAGTGGTGTTTACGGAGACAAGTTGTAGGAAAACTGATGCCACAGGAACTCAGCAGTAAACGACAGTAACACCACCTATTGGGTACTCACCATGTGTCAGGCACTGCTCTAAGCATTTTACCTACCTTAACTCATTTAATCTTCCAGGCACTCCTTTGAAGCATTCTTATCCCATTTTACAGATGTGGACAGCAAGGTCAAAAAGATTTGAGTAACTTGCCCAAGGTCAAAAAGCTAGTTAATGGAAGACTCAGGCAGTCTGGCTCCTGAGTCCATTCTTACTCATGCAACTATGCTTCTCGGTGATAATTATAATTCCGACCCAAGGAACATAAAAGAAGCTACTCAGAAGAGTTAATCCTCTCTTCACAAGGCAAACTGCAATTTAGTTTCAGCAAAACATTACATTGATAAATTTCATTTTGAATATTGTGGGTTTTATACTTTGTTTCATTTGTAGATGTTTTCATTTTATAGTTAGAAGCACAAGGTATTTAGGCCTCATTTTAAGTTACAAACATTTAAGTAATATAATAAAAATAACTTAAGCGAACTCTTTAGTGTTGGTAAGAAGCTTTATCCTTAACACATAACACTCCAAGAAATGCTGGTCTCTGTGGATGCTCAGGGAATGAAGGTGCTGGATGTGCGTTTGTGCATCTGTGTGTTTAGTCTGCTGGTTCCCCATCTCACTGTCCACTGTCCACTGTCTGTATATCCCGACTCTCTTCTCTTGAGTTCCGCATAATATCCAGGACAACACTTCCCATACATGGTGGAGTGTCTCTGGTTCAATGACCTTAAGCTGGAATTTTCCAATCACAAGACTCTTGAAAGATAAAGGCAAGACATGTGACAGAGAGGAGGCTGGCTGGTCTGTGGGAGGAGGGAGAGACAAAGACTAAGACACGAGAACGAGCCTAAGTCACGCCACAGGCCCAGCCACACTGGGGGGGAACTGCTTCTTTCTTTTAGATGTTCTATCTAAATCCTTCCTTCTGACATTTGAAAATTCTATCTAATGTGCTCAGAAGCCATTTCTGGGGGCTATCAGACATTCTAGAGTATGCGATTCACTAAGAGGCATCTGATTTGATCTTCAAACAGCCCTCATCTCTGAAAGGATTCTCCATTTTAAAGATGAAAAAACAGAACCTTAGAAAGAGTCATCAATTTACCTGATGTTACTGCAGGGTCCCCAACCCCTGGGCCATGGACCAGCACCGGTCCGTGGCCTGTTAGGAATCGATAGGCACAGTAGGAGGTGAGCAGCAGGCAAGCCAGAGAAGCTTCATCTGTATTTGAAGCCGCTCCCCAGCCCTAGCATCACCGCCTTAGCTCCACCTCAGATCATCAGGCATTAGATTCTCATAGGAGCACCGGTCCCTGGTGCCAAAAAGGTTGGAGACCACTGTTACTGAACTTGTAAGTGGTGGAATGGGGCTTGAAACCAGATATGCTCCAAGCTGGTCCATAACACCATCTAATCCTATGCTATTTACATGCCAGGAGGGAATCCTGTAAAGACCTCAACCGAAGGTGGGAGGTGGCAGAGAACAGCAAGAAGGTCCTAAATACAGGCTGAAGGAACATGGGTCCAACTGAATGGAGTGCTGAATAAAAGGTTAGCATTTTTTACCTATTAGATGAGCAAACACCAAAAGTTTGACAATACCTTCTATTGACAAGGCCGAGAAGCCTCAGGTACATTTCTGATGAAGTCTAAACAGGCAATATCTGTGAAAATTACAAATTCATTTATTCTTTGGCTCAGCAATTTTGCTTCTGGGAATTTACTGAACAGAGATAATTGCATAGAACTAAAAGAGCACATGCACGGCTTATTTAAAACACCGAACTCTCAAGTCTATTAAATACAGGGCTGATTAAATAAACTAAGGTATGTTCATACAGTGGAAAACTATACCATAGGAAAAAAAATGAAGATGCTCTGATATGAAAAATCTCTTCTAAAACAAGGTGTAGAGTAGTGTATTTATACAAGCTTTGGTGGAAAGAGGTGGGAGAATAAGAAATAAGAAATTTTAAAAATCTGTATATTCATATTTGTTAATGCTTTTAGAAACACCGGAAGAATATATAAGAAATTAATAATTATGTGGTTATGGGGTTAGGAAAGACTTTTCACTGTATATATATTAGAATCTTTAAACAATAAAAATAGATTATCTATTCAAAAATTAATCGAGAAGGCTCTGCCCAGGCTCCCTTCTCTAGTCCAGTTCGTAGCTCCATGTACTCCCCTTCCACACACGTGCTTGGCCCTGTTTGTCTACCACCCTCTCCACACATCATTCAGGTTTTGTGTCCCCCAGGAGGTCTTCTGTGGGGTCACAGAAAATCTCCTTATGCTTCCTGCTTCATCGTATTTTTTGGAAGGTGTAAATATAGCTTTGAACTATTAGTTTCCTCCTATCTAGATGATGATATTTTACACTGAGTATCAGAGAGATTAAATAATTTGTTGAAGGTCACCCAGGACAGAGCTGGAGCTTGAACCAGCTGAGCCCTGTCTAAATCCAATCTCCTGGCTGCCCCCATTTTGCTTCCAGTTATAACTCCCAGCAACTCCAGTCCCTGAGGAAGCCAGTCAGTGTTCCCTTTCTGTCTTTATGCCCTAAGAGTTCAGTGCTCAGTGACAGATGATCACATGGTATAGGAAGGATGGGAAGGAAGGGGGGAAAGAGGAAGAGAAGGAAGAAGGAAGGAAGAAGAGGGAAGGGAAGGGAAGGAGTGGAGGAGGGGTACTCACTCCTGCAGAGATGGGTCTGAATCATCGGCATTTGCTATCCCCAGGTCTGAATCGTAGGACATTGGCTCCTCAGAATGGTCGGGACTCTTGGAGCCATTCTCCTGGAGCAGGCAGCTATCAGAGTTTAGGCTGCAGGACAGCTGGGACGAACTGGCCGTGTCCAGGCTGAGGGTGGAGGCGGTGAGCTGCCTGTTCCGTCGGATCTTATGGCCCGAGTGCTGAACTTCGATGTCCTCCGAGCCTGAGGAATGGGAAATGGAGTCCAGAGACTCCTTACGCTGTAGTTCTGTCCCAGAGGTAGTGAGGGGGTCGAGCTCAGAGAGCGGGCAAAGCCCAGAGAGGGCCAGTGGGGTAAGCGTCCACTCGTTTAAGATGGCGGACTTATAGGAGAGTTCGAAGGATAGGGACGTGAGCCCTTGCAGGAAGCTGAGGAGGAACTCGCCCTCCTCGGGGTCTCGAAGCAGGGCGGTGGGCTGATAGTACTCGCACAGTCGGGCCTGCTCCTGGAGGAGCAGCTTCAGGTAGCACTCCATCAGGCCATCGTTGAGGGCCAGCCGCAGCCAGGCCCGGCAGCGGCCCACGTCCGTGCTGACAAAGATCAGGTGTTCCAATTCTGAGATGATGTGTCTGGGAATGGGAAGAACAGACTTATTTTAAGAAACGACTTCAAATCACTGAGATGTGGTCCTATCCACTGGTTGGCTAGAGACAATAATGACTGCAAATAGATATAGGCATGAAAAATTCTTGGATAATAGTGTTCTAAGGGGAATTGAGAAATGTTAAGCTATAACCCCCAACTTTTGAGGTTGGTGTCATAAAGGATAATTGCCATTTTCATTAAACTACCCTTTGGGTTCCTTATATTATCTGCTCACATCCAGGACACGTCTGCTGTGCCTTTAAGTGCAAGGTTGCTGGAGCTGTGAAGGCACAGGATAAAGACATGGTCCCTGCCCTCCGTCTAGGTGACCGCCTTTTGATGACACACCTGTTGTTAGTAGAGCTGGGGTGGGGGCTCGGCGATCTTGAAAAATGCCATAGAGAGGGCAGTATCTGAGCTGGGCCTTATTGGATTTCAACAAGCGAAGATGAAAGGAGAACCTTCTAGGCAAAAGGGACTGAGAAAAAAGGCATAAAGGGTAGAAAAGCAATAGACCTGTAACAGGACTGGGGAGTATTCTGATTACAACATGGAGTGGGTGATTCGGTTGCAAAGCTAGGTAATGTAGGGTCTTGAGTATCAAACTGGTGAGGCCAAGTAGAGCAATGGTCCCCATGCTTGGCTGTGCCTCAGAATCACCAGGGCGACTGGTCAGAATACAGATTCTGGGGCCCCGACTGAGTGAACTAGACTCCAAACTAGCATTTGGGAGCTTGTGGCTACAGGTTTTTGCACGAGAAAGTGGCTTGACCCCAGCTACACGCACTTTAGGGTGGGTTGCTCTGGATAAGATCAGAACCCAGGAGTGCCAAGCTCGGTTCCTGACTGCCTCGGTCTGGTGCCAAAGCCCGCCTCCAACTCGCACAGCCTGCGTGCACGTCTCTTACATGGGAGTGCAGACCATGCTCTGCAGGACTCAGTGATTGGCTCCGGTTAGCTTACGCTCAGTAAATGTTAAGAAAGAATGAGATAAGGGGAACAATTAGAAAGCTACTGTCACCCAGAGTGAGGCAAGAACCTGAGATACGGCAATGGCAGTAGGCATGGAAAGGAAGAGACTCACAAGGCACCTTCGGGCTGAAGGTGGCATTTAATAGCCCTTAGAGGCACAGTGCCAGCTACTTGCTCCAAAGCCTAGGCGGTTAGGAGCAAGGCCACAAAAACAAGTGTCTCAGGGTGAATATTCAAATACTCTACCTGGATTCCATTCTTTTCTTAAAAAACCCATACCTTGTTATGAATATAATACTTAGCACACAGATGTTCAAACGTTCTAAGGCAGGGTCAGCACAATTCTTCTGTAAAGGGCCAGACAGTAAAGATCTTAGGCTTTGCAGGCCACACAACCTCTGTTGCAACCACCTAGCTCTGCCAGGGTGTGGTAAAAATGGCAGCGCCTGCTAATATGGTGGCCAGCCTGGGGCCTCGGAGCAGCCCAGGCTGTTACCTGACGGCTGAGGTGGTGATGAGGCTTGGTCTGACAGTAACTCCGACTTTAGCCATCTGTATTCTAGAACACAGAGTGCCTCTGATTGCTTTCCCGAACAGCTGGAGAAGAACCCAGCGTCCCACACTCTGGAGCTCGTCCCCAAAACAAAACCTCCCCAGCCGATCTCACTTGTGGGTGACAGCTTTCAGGAGGGGCCAGAAGACAGGCTGAGGCAGAGGCTTCTGGTGGGCACTCTTCTTCCTCTTCCCTCCGGCCTCGGCTCGGATGTGCTTGGCGTGCAGGCCATGGATAAACACGGCCTCCAGGGCACTGCACATGGTGTTGGCATCTCCGTCTTCACTGGTGACCGCCGTGTCCAAGGACACATACTGCTTCTGCAGCGCCTTCACAGATCCCACTAGCTTCTTCTTGATGACCTAGGTAGGAACAACCGTAACACAGGCCTTCAGAAGATCCTACGGTGGCCCTGGGAATGTAACTGCCTGTTGCCAAACACATGCACAGCCACACACGTCCACACCTATGTATATCTATATACACCTTCTGCAAAACTAGCACATGCTAATTATACAAAGTAAAGATAAAGCACAAAGTAAAGGAAAATTACACACACCATCTAAAGATACTGTTATCATTTTTGTGCAAAGATATCTGTGTATCTTTTGTTTTTTAAGCTGAACTTCTATGAACTGATAGCCATATAAATCTTATGTTTAAATATTGGCTTCATCAGAGTTACAGCGATAGGACTTGGGTAAATCCATCTAGGACGGGGCTTTCCACCTTAGTTATGGGACCAAGATTCTGCAGAGCATCAAGAAGCTGAGAGGCAAAAAGTGTTGCTTTAGAACAATAAAAAGATCAAGAAAACAGGAGCACGGTCTACATTCAGAAAGACCTGGCGGCCAGGTTCTGTCCCAGCTGTCAGTTACCAGCTGAATCACCTCAGACATTCCACTTAACCACTCTAAGGCTTGATTTCCTTGCCTGTTAAATGGAAATGATACTTCCTGGTTCACAGCACGTGGGGGCCTCCTCTTCGAGGGCAGGACTAGTTTTTATTTAACCTGTGTCAACACCTGGCATGTATAAGTACTCAATAAATGTTTGTTCAATAAATTAGAAAATATACATTAACTCTTTTAGAAATATAAAGATAGTTCTATCATAATATGTTAAAATTATCTTAAGTGTTTGAAGAAGAACTGGAAGGGATCGCAGAAAAACTGGTTTAAATTGTTAGGTGATAAGATTTTGGATAAATATCTTGCTGTTTTGTTTTATTTTAGCCCAAACAGTTCATGTTCTTTGAAAAGTTAAATGTTCTTTTTTTATAACAGCTTTAATGAGACGTAATTTATATAGCATCAAATTCACTTATATAAACAATTCGATGGTTTTTCAAATATTCACAGAATTGTGCAATCATGACCACTATCTAATTTTAGAACATTTTCAATGCCCTCAAAAGAAATCCATTAGCAGTCACTTCCTATACCCTTTCCCCTAAACCTTAGCATCCACTAATCTACTTTCCGTTTCTATGAATTTGCCAATTCTGGACAATTCATAAAAATGGAATTATACAATATGCAGCCCCTGTGTCTAGCTTCTTTCACCTCAGCATGTTTTCAAAGTTCATCCATGTGATAGCATGGATCAGTACTTCATTCCTTTTTATGCCAAATAATATTTCAGTGCATGGATATGCCCTATTTTATTTATTGATTCATCAATTAATAGACATTTGGGCTGTTTTGCTTTTTGGCTATGATGCTGCTATAAACATTCATGCACAAGTTTTTGTATAGATACATGTTTTCAGTTCTCTTTGGTATACACCTGGGAGTGGAACTGCTGAGTCATATGTAACCCCACGTTTAACTTTTTGAGGAACTATCAGACTGTTTTCCCAGTGGCTACACCATTTTACATGCCCACCAGCAATGTATGAGGGCTCCAATCTTTCCACAACCCCACCAGCACTGAATGTCATCTGCCGTTTCGATCACAGCCATCCTAGTGGGTACGAAGAACTATCTCATTATTGTTTTGATTTGCATTTACCAAATGTCTAATGATGTTGAACCTCTTTTCATGTACTTATTGGTCATTTTTTATCTTCTGTGATGAAATCCTTAGTCTTCGTGTAATCTATGTTAAATCACTGTTTTCTGTAAATTCTCATTTTATCACCAATAAGATGATCTGGAAAGGGCAGGTTCTCAAAGCCTGTGTCTCCTATAACTTTTTCCTCTCTTTATGGACCATGCCCATTCATTTTAAAGTGAGAAAAACCAATGGAATGGTTGTCTTGTGCACTCCTTCCCCACCCTCGACCCTCCCTTGCCACCTACCGGGATGGCAGCCCGGGGGTCTAGTCCATTCTCCACCACAGAGAGCATTTCCGTGCAGCAGTGGAATCACATGACACCTGCAGAGACAGATGGTGGCCAGATGAGCAAGGTCCCAACTCACTGACTCCAGCCAATCTCTCGCAATCCCTCCATCCTGCCCCCCAGCAGGCAGCAAGATGTCCAGCTGTTTTACTCAAACTGCAACTGAAAGGCCTCTGAATACAAAAGTGAAAACTGAGAGCGGATTTTAACAAAGGAAACAAGGAAGAAAAAAATCTGAGGGCCTGGCTCTTGGGAAGTGAGGAGCCCTGTGTGCCAGCGGTGGGTCCGCCCCAAGGAGTGGGTAGAAAGAACTCTACTCCACAGCAAACGAGGCATGAAGAGCAGGGAATGAAAGGCTGATCATTTAGATACAGAGCTGAGGGTGCAAGGGGAGGCTGCAGCTGAAGGTGCCAAGAACAACCAGGGACCAGGAAGCAGGCCTCACAAGTCCCATTCAGGGCCTGGGCCGTGCTACTGCCCCCTCGGCCTCTGTCTCAGTCCTCTGTCTGCCAGCTCAGCAGTGAAAAGTACAACTGAACAGTTTCAAATGAGGGGCTCTCTTGCTACACATCTTCTACATATCTTGGGTTGAGAGGGTCTAGCTTTTCAGTAGAACGAGGACATGTCTAATGGGGGATAACATGGGTTCTAATCTCAATTTTGCCATTAACCAGCTAGGCACATTGGGGCACTGCATCGGACTGCTGAAATGGAGATTATGACAGTGGAAAACACTTAGCACAAAGCCCGACATGTACCAAGGACAAACGGTATCTATAATCCCAGTGGATGTGGCCACCTAAATCTACATGCAAAGAATGCCACTGTCTCAATGAATATGAACAAGTAGTTGAAGTCAGTACACAGATGAATCCTTCAGGGATGCTGGTTTCCTGTGTGTGTGTGTGTTGGGGTGTGGGGGCTGACGGTGAGGGGGCTGCTGGCTGTGAGGGCTGGAGGTGGAGGCTTCCGCCTGAGCCTGAGGGGGCTGCTGGCTGGCCTCACCCCACCCCAGCAACTGGGACAGACCAGGACCAGCAGGCACATTCACATCTAAACAAATCTCTAGTGACCACACAGCTGAGTATGAAGGGACATCAAAAATAAAAGGTTTTTGCTATCTCTGCTCTCAAAAAACTCGTGGCCTAAAGAAGTTGATAAAACCAAGGCATGCTAAATGGATTTTGTACCCTTTACATGTATTGTCTCATTCCATTTCTCATAACTGCCTAGGCATGTGCTTTTATTACCTCTACCTGACAGCTAAGAAATAGAAGCTGACCAAGGTCAAGGAACTTCCCAAGATCCCAGGGCTGAAATGGCTGACTCCCCCACCTGCTGCCAGGGTGGCACCAACCCCAGCTCAAGGGAAACCCCAGGCTCCTGAGTGAGTGTAATCACCGCCCTCCTGGAAGAGGGCCAAAGGGTGGGGGAAAGGTGGGGGGCAAAGAAGACAGCAGGGGACTGGGGGAGGGCTCATCAGCTGGGGGCCCTGATGGAAGGTGCTCTGATTCAATTCCTGGCCTCTGGTGTTGGCACGAGGCAAACTGGACCCTGAGTCAAGTATCCTAAGTAAGGACATGCAGAGGGAGGCAGGTGTACATGGAGGATGGCCCTGCAGAGTCAGCTCTAGTCAGGGTGTGACACACCGCCAGGAAGAACACTGGGACCTGGCTGCAGCCCTCTCTGGCTGCCTCGCCCTTCCACCACATTCCCACTCCCACCTCCCAGGAATCCTCAGGGCCCCCTCTGGAGACCAGCTCCACCTTCTGGCCACCAGGGCAACAGGGCAAGGGGCCTGTGCTTCTGTTCCTCCTGAAAGTGTGTCTGGTCCTGGAGGCTGGGTTCTTTCAAGGCTACCTTGCACAGCCCAGCAGGCCAAGTCCAGGTACTCTGGCTCCAAGACCCTGAATGCTCAGCCCTTTCAGCAATTCCAGTGGCCTAAGGCCTTCCCTCAGACCTGCCCTCCCAGACAGAGCCTCAAGCTCCAAATCGGCCCTTCCCTCGGCCAGCCACAAGGTCAGGCCCTTACGGGCTTAGACCTCAACAATCTGAATAATATCCTGGGCCCATTAAGCTCTCATTAACTAAGTAACTGAAAATAATATTCACTGGAGTAGGAAGCTTTGCAGTAAGTGGGTGCTCCAGCCAAGTAATGGTCTCCTGAAAAACCAAAGTAAACTGATGCTGAGAGGTCAGAGTAGGGTCACATAAGAGACAAGAAACTGTTACCTAAAATAAAGTGTCAGAAAAGCCACAAAATGACAGCAGCATAGAGGGATTCAGAAGGAGAAGAGCCACTGGACGATTCAAAAAACAGGACTGAGACTTTGGGGTTTGGGCCACAATTTAGGGCACATCTTTCTTCGTAGGAAGACAAAGCACCCTACCCATGGTGTGTGTTCTATAAACCCTCAAGGAAGCAGGAAACCAGCTCAGAGGCAGGAATGTGACAGTCTAGACTGAGAACAAGCTGGTGGAACCAGAACGGGACTTTGGGTCTCCTGACTGCTTAGTCAGTGCTGCATCATTCTCTTGGGTGGCCCAGACCCCCTATCTACCATCCCATGGGATTGGTTTCACTTCCTGTCCTCAGAACACTCTTCATGGACACCAAGAACCAAACCAAAGAGAGATGTGGCTTCAAGGAGACCGAGGCTGAAGAGAGTAAGGAGAGAACTTGGGCCGTCCTACCAGAGGGCTCTGCAAAGAGCAGAGGTGGGGTTTAGCAGAAAAAGTGGCTTCTGTCTGCCCTTTAGGGAACTCCAAACCCTGCTAAGTCTGCTTTTCCCCAGAAGCACTGACATACCCTCTCCAAGCTTCTCTGAGCTCAGTCTCTGATCTCATTTAATTCTTACAACAATCCTGGAAGAGAAGGATGATTATCTCTGTTATACAGAGAAGACCAAGGCTCAGTACAAACAGGCCCCAGGTAAGGGACAGAATTCTCTGGTTTCCTCATTCCAACTCCTGTACCTTTCGCCAGCCCAAACTACCTCAGGTTTTTGGTTCAGAGAGTTTCAGGCAAACTTATTACTTATAGATTCTTAAGAGGCACTCAGAAACTCCATGTTATTGAATAAGGTTTAAAATTAACAAGAAACAATCTTGCCCGTTAGATCTGTAGCCCCAACCGGTGGAGGCTAAGTCCTTTCCATGGTACCCAAGTTTCAGAGCTGTCCTCTCCTAAATGTTCCAACACACAGGAACAAAGCGTTCTGGTTGTTTTTCTTCATTACACGGCCTAGCCCTCTATATGTCCGATTTCACTTCCTCCAGAGACCAAGGAAGAAAAAAAAAGAAAAATGTCTTATATGAGACTTACATTAAAAGAAGAAATGGATGACCTGGCTTCAACACTTTTGAAACACTCCAGCCATCAGTAAACAGCAACCTCTTCTCCTCAGAGACTTCTCAGCCATTCCCCACAGGCTCCTCTCTATGGCCTACATCCAATCCTGTACCTGGCTGTTCAGAACAACAGCCTGGTGTCTAAGCCATCCAGCTGCTGTACCAATTGATAAGACATAGTTTTCAGCTGGAAAGAATGACAAAGTTAGCAGTTGGAAAAGAATGACAAAGTTATCTTCTGATTCAGAAAGTCAGCTGATCTTTCAGCCATGTGAGTGATAAATGAGTAAACAGCACCTCCTTCTACCTGAAGAATACTGAAGTCATGGGGTGTGCTGGGGGAACTCTGAAGCAACTGAATGCCAGCTAGAGGTTGAGAAACATCTAGCTTGTGATTCCCAGACCAAGGGCAAATGGCTGAGGCAGGAAATGTGAAGTCAGTTAACACTGGGTATCTTTTTTTCCTTCCTCTTTCCTTCCATTGAATAACAACACTCATCTTCCCCATATTCTTGTCTTATATCTCTTAGGAATAAATGAAAACTCACTCACTCTGAATAAATAAAAACAGGTACTTTGCCCGACTCATTCACCATTGCATTTCTATTGTCTAGAACAGTGCATGGAGCATAATGGTGCTCAAAAAATAATTGCTGAATTGAACTGATGAATAAAATAAAATAAAAATAAGGCTCAGGGCAGTTTTCTCCATTTCATAGACTGTGGAAAGCTGAATTATACAACTCCTTTGAGGAGGGGACATTATGGAACTCCTTCCATTAAACCAAGCTGCCAACAGGCTGAAAACCATTCATTTATATATATATAATGGGGAGATCCTGAAGGTGGAAGGGCATTTAATTTTCAAAGGAACAAGACTATAAATGGCAAGCAAAGAATATGGTCCTGTTTGGGACCCTTTACTGTCAAATGACTGACCCGCTGAAACCAGGTCACCAGAATTTTGAGAGAATGTGCATCCAAAAACCCAGATTATAAATGCTGAGCATAAGGCCTGTCTCAGGAGTATCTCTCTGCCTCAGCTACTCTGAGATAACTCAGCTCCCTGTATTCACAGGTAACCAAGGTGGCCAAAACTCAATGATCCAGCCCCTGCAAAAAGGAGAAAGCGATTCAACAGCCTCCATATACACTTAGGTCTCAGCATCCCCAGGACTCACCTGTACTTGTTACAACATGTAACATCATCTCTGGCATCTAGTGTTCCCTGTGTTCAGTTTTAGAATTAATTTGTTATCAGCTCTGGCTGGGAGGAGCACTGGGTGAGGGTCCTTTACAAGTACCAGGACAACACAAACAGACATGGTTTTGTGACCACAGCCAACCTCACATGGCATTATTCCCTGAGTTTCTGCAAGGCCAGAACACCAGCCAGGAATAAGTGGTGGCTTCTGTTGTTCCAGGCTGAGTGGCGATTCCTCACTTTCCAGGCTTTTGGAAGATACCTATGATTCCTGCAGTCAGCACAAGCAACTCAATATAAATGCTAAAATCATAGTCCCTCGGGACAGGTACAGGGGACCAGACACCTAGGAATAGCCCCTGACCCAAGGTGGGAATCTCTATCCCCATCCCCCCATTTATTTACCATCTGAGGCCCTGCCCACACCAGTCAAGCTGCTCAATCTCTGACTGCCAGGCTCTGAGCAAGCACCTAGATTTGACGGTTGAGAGGCAGCTGGTGTGGCTGACATGGGACTCTGCATTGTTCTCAGATTGAATGGGGACAGCATCAAGGGAAGAATGGGTGCGGAGTTGGGGTGAAGGTTGAGGTGGGGACAGCAGAGGTGAAAGGACACAGAGACCTCATTTTAATTAAGATTGGGTAAGGGTGGTAGGAACTGGGGCAGCAAAAGTTGAGAGCAGTTTAGCAAAGACTCAGGAGCGTTGGAGATGGAAAGGAAGTATCATCATGGGCTAGGAAGTTACCTGGGACAGAGATGTGATGAGAATTATCAACGAAGGGGTGAATTCATAAGGGCATCTACTTTGGTGGTGGGTCTTAAATGTGAGTGGGACAGAGATGGGGTGTTTAGGAGGAGCAGATCTTGGGGAGCCGAATAGGGAGGTGTGGGAGACAGGGATAAGAAAGCTGATTCAGAAAACGGCAAACCAGAATGATGGGTCTCCAGGAGGTTTGCGTGGAGCATCGGGATTGCCAAAGGAGTTGAGGAGTGAGGATGAGATGGTTAAAGGGAGGCAGAGGGATGTGGCCGAGATCGCGGTTGGAACTGGGCTAGAGTGGGGTCCAGGCTAAGGCTGCATTTACGCAAGACCAGTGGTGAGGGGGGTGGGAGAAAGGGCTGGAGTCAGGTCACAGGTGGGAGAAGATATAGGGACGGGCCAGCAGTGGCAGTGGGGCCCTCAGGCTAGGATCGGAGCGCGAAGTGAGGGCACGGGGTTTGGGCTGGGAAGGGCTCTGAAGCAGGAGAGTCTCAAGGCAACCCGAGGTTTGGGATCACGGCAAGGGCTGCTGGCCCATCGCCCGTTCGCATCTCAGCCTCGCCGCCCTTCCGCTGCCCTCCTCGCCCTCGACCCCCTTAACTCACCAAAGAGAGAGGGGAGCAGGGCGGGGGTACTCCCGTCCGTGACACCCCAAAACCTCCGACTTCGGCCTCCCGGCTACTGACAACAGGAAGCCGCGCCGACGGCGCCTGACGCCATCACGTAGGTTTGGTGTCCGGCCACGCCCCCCGCCCGCAGAGCCAATCGCGGAGCCGGGAGGAGAGGCGGGGTGAGACCAGCGCGCCCGGATGCCCAAGGGTTTCCATCCCGGAGCAGACGTGTGGTCTTGGGAGGCTTAGGACCGCGTTACTTTAGAGGGAGTGCTGAGAAGCATGGCCACCGGGATCCGGCGGAAGGCATCCTCACTGCCCGCTTCCCTTAGGGTCTGCTTCAGACAAGGCCCTGGCATCTCGGTTCCTGACCTCGCCTGGCTTCACCGCTATCTGCGTAGCATTGGGGCTGTCGCTTGGCCTCCTTCAGCGAAGGTTGTACACTTGTAAAAAGGGACAAATAACGCCTACTCTATTTTTGCCTTCCCGAGGGCATCAGCGCAGCCTGGAGTGCAGAGCCCAGGCCTGAGTTGTAGCCACCCGCCTGGTGGTTCTCAGGAAAAACATGTTTTGACTACACCTTTACACCCAAAGGGAGACTGCCCCTTGGGCATTCTCATGTAACCCGGAGGTGCGACACAAAACTCATCTACCCTTGCAGATGTTTGCTTTCTATCGTAGAAGTGACATTTCTCTTTCAAATAGACTCAACAAAAGGCGAGGGGGTGTGTACTGCTGTGCTTCAGACACTGCAGACGAAGCTTTGTTCAGCTGGGAGCCTAGGGTCTGAGTGTGAGTAGGGGTGCGGAGATATCCCTAAGATGCATGTCCAGGGGTGACCTTAGGAGTGGCTGCAAGGCTGGCTGGGGAACAGGCCAGTTCTTGGTAGCAAGCTCCACTGATCCGGGGTGGGGACGGGGTGGGATTGTTGTTCTTGTGTGTGCTCCATCGGTCTTTCGGAGTCCGACGAGGCCCCAGTGCTGTTGAGGTGTCCCCCCGCCCCCACACTGTGTGGGGGCTGCTTCCCCTTCAGTAATTCTTGCACAGGAATATAAACTGCCCCTGCTCTGTTTTAAGATAGATGAGAGTGCTGAGTGCCCTTCTATGGTTAATGGCTGAACAGGAAGGTTAGAAATAAAATGTGAGAATCTCTGCCCTAACCTAGGAGGTGAGGGGTGAGGAGTTTAACATTCCTGGAAAACAGAAGCTCCTACTGTTTGGGGGCAGGAACTGTGATTCGTCCTTACCAACTACCTGGAAAGTAGGTTCCATTGTTCTTTCCATAGTACAGATAAGAAAACAAGCCTAAGAGAAATAACTTGGGGGCCCAAGGCCACACAACTAATAAATGGTAGAAACAGGATTCTCACCCAGCTCTTTCTGATTCTAGTTGGAGAGGTGACAGAGCAGGAGAGATTTGGAGCAAGGAATGCCTAGGTTTGGGTCCCAGGTCTATCTATCTACCTCATGCTATTTTCTGGGCCTTCTGAGAGGCCCAGGGCAACCCAACAAGTGTGGGGCTAAGACAACTGCCCCAGTGTCAGTATTTTTATAGGTCCCTTGAGATAGCACTGAAGATAGAAATTTCACAATTGAATTTTATTATATTCAGAAAAGAGAAGGCAAGTCACACCACCCACGGCCCTTTTTAGCCTCAGGCAGAGGGGTCAAAGTGTGTGACTTTAGAGAAGTTCCAAACTCTCTGAGCCTTAGTTCCTCATCTGAAAATTGGGGGGGAAAATATCAGTTGATGTGAGGAGTAAATAAGATAACATCTTTAGGGCAGTGTTTGGTCTGTAGTAAGCACTGGAAGATGATTATTATTACAGTTCTGGCAATTCCCACCTTCCCTATCTAGTCAGGTCTCTGCCTCTAACTGCTCTTCTGAGCACGGGAGTGAGATCCTTTCTAGTTTGAACCCCAGATATATCCTTACTTGGTATCTGATTGGAATCATCAAACTAGTATTAATGTAAACCATCTGTTGATACTGGAATAGCTAGTGCTCTTCCGGATTCTCTTGTAGGAAACTGGTTCTTCTCATGCTCACTTTTAAAAAATGGATTTAAAAGTTTTTATTTTTCAATTATACATCCATAAAGCTGGAAAAAAGAATGATCACAAAATAATGAATTAAAGAAAAATTTATTGCACAAATAGTTTACAGTTGAAGTAGTACTAAATGAAATGAAATGGTGGTAAAACAATGATCCACAGGAGTTCCTTGCCCCAACGATCTCCCATCTTCCTGAGCCAGTTCACTAGGCCTGGTTACTCCTGGGGAGCAGACTTTTTAGCAGAATCTTCTGGTGCTTATTTCCATGTCTCTCGCACTTCTAGTTCTTGATTTATGCATTTTAGAGCCTGTCTACTGAATCTCTAGTAACATAGGCAAGGAGCTAGTTCTTTTACATCCTTACTCCCCAGTCTGTTCTTGAAGTTAACTATTACTATTTCCACTTATTTGGGTTTACAAAATTGTGACTATGTAAATATTGCTCACCATAGAGCTTAATAATGTACTCTGATTACATTCATTTTTAATTTTCTGGCCTTCTCTTTCTGTACTGTCTGCCATGATCACATCTCCAGTTCCCCTCCCATTTCCCTCAGAGCCCTCTCTCCCTGTTCTGTCTTCCAGTGTGTTCTAGTTATTTCCTCAGCCTGTCACTCAGCTGCCATCCAGAAACTTCCCCCTCACTGCTTTCTGGGTTGGGCCTTTTCCTGGTTCTCTTCTCTTCTTCCTTTCTATAATTTCTTTGTTGGCTCAGTTAAGAAGCCCTTTCTTCTAATCAAAAAACAGAACTGTCTTTGGACCTCCTCACGATAGTAGTTATACCTTTCGTATCCATTAATTGGGGAAAAACTATATAACGACCAAAAACTACCATGAAGGCACTGATGCTTTGAAATGAATTTTACTTATGATAGCATATATGAACATGCGAAAACTTGATGAGAGTTTAGGATTAAGGGTTAGTTCAACCTAGCTTCAGTCTTTGAACCTCCTCCATTTGCCACCTCAATCCCTGTCTGCCAGTAACAGAAACTCCCTCTTGACTTTTAGTCAAGCCTTCTCTACAACCTGTGATTAAACAGGAGGGAAATACTGGTTCAAGGCATCCCATCCCCCGCCCCCCGCATGTACACGTGACCATGGCTGACTAGTCAAAGTCTCCTTTCCCTGACACATGGTACAAGCAGGCCAATCAGAGGCCTTTGGAAGATGGGCTTTCCTCTGAGATATTTGCTCTACAGTGGTGTAGAGTTGGAATTATTAATGACCATCTTCGAAGCCAAGGGGCATGAGTCCTCCAGAGGCTGAAGCCATCACACAGGAAAGCAGGGGGGAGGGACAGATGGGAAGAGGATGATGTTTAACTTTAAGCCCTGGATGCAGCCAACTTTAAGCCCTTAGGCTTCCTGGTTATATGTCATTTTTGGTTTAAGCATATTTTACTTGGAAATATTTCACTTGGAACATAAAGATTGGTGACTAAATATATTAAATTTGTCAACTTGGGCAAGTTATTCTCCTCCTCCCACCTCTCAGTTTCCTCATCTATTAACTGGGGAGAATAAGATCTACCTCACAGGTAGCTGTAAGATTTCAATGAGATAACATGCATACACACTCAATATATGATCGCTATTAGTGATGTAATAATTATATGTGTGGGAAACACAGGATTTGTTAGCTCTGCACACAGAGCTTGGTACACACACACACTGACAAGTCTCCTGCTGTGACTGGCCTTCTGAGGACCTGTGGCCACAACTTGGAAATTACTGCTCCAGGAGTTGCCTTTTGAGCAGAGCAATGCGTATTCTCCTGTCCCCTTTCAGTCTGTGTTTATTCTTTCTCTCAAAGCATCATTTGGTGTTGGTCAGCTCCTTCTACCCCCATTCCCACCTTATCTGGCCTGGATACAGGTTACAAGCAGGATCACCTTCCCCTATTACACCGATTCTCAAACCTGCTCGGGAGGCAAGGCACTTGGAAGTTTGCATTCTGCACAACACTTATTTCTGTTACAGAACTAGGAATAATCTCACCAACAGGTACTGTGGCTGCTGTTCATGCAGAATAAAATCAAGATCATCCTCACACATCTCAGAATAAAAAAAAGCTGTGCTTGATGGTTGAGTTTTTCCTTTAACATCCCCTTGCTACTGATTAGCTTACTTTGATGGCTGTGAGCTCACAAGAGCAGAGAGATGGTGGAAGGAGTTAAAAGTTTAAGCTGTGAAAAAAAAATTAAACATGAAATCATAATACCTAGTAACTGTTTTAGGCAAATTGCAACGTAAGCTCCTGGGAATCACTGTCCTGATACAGTGACTCTACATGGGGATTCTTAAATCCCAATTTGTTTTTTAAAACTTATCTTTTAAATCTATGGCCATGCTACCCTGAACACGCCAGATACTGGCTGATCTCGGAAGCTAGCACAGTCAGGCCTGGTTAGTACTTGGATGGGAGTCCATCTAGGAAGACCAGGAGCTGTAGGCATAAAAAATAATAAAGTAAGGGACTGTAAACTGACAAGGTCCTTGCAATCTGTGAGGTCAGCCAAGGGTCGCCTTGCCAAATAAATAAATAAATAAATAGATAGATAGATAAAGATACTGGCTGATCTCGGAAGCTAGCACAGTCAGGCCTGGTTAGTACTTGGATGGGAGTCCATCTAGGAAGACCAGGAGCTGTAGGCATAAAAAATAATAAAGTAAGGGACTGTAAACTGACAAGGTCCTTGCAATCTGTGAGGTCAGCCAAGGGTCGCCTTGCCAAATAAATAAATAAATAAATAGATAGATAGATAAATAAAATAATGACCTTGCCAAATAAATAAATAAATAGATAGATAGATAAATAGATAAATAAATAAATAAATGAAAATGAAACTTATCTTTTAAATACTTAATACAAACTCATAATACAAAAGAATACAGTGCTGCAGTCTCCCAGTTCCCTTCTGGGAGAGCAACCACCGTTACAAGTTGCTTGTGTGCCCTTCCAGAGATATTTAGTACCAACATCATCCAACAGAACTATGATGATGAAAACAGTCCATCTGCGCAGTCCAGTATGGTAGCCATTAGCCACACTTGACTATGAATACTTGAGATGTGGCTCGTGTAACTTAGGAGCTAATTTTTAAAATTTAGTTAGTTTGTATTAATTTAAATTTGGATTTACACAGCCACACGTGGCTAGTGCTACTATATTGGACCATGCAGTTATATACATATGATGCACAGTGTATAGCAACATACTATAAATACCCACCACATCTTGCTTTGTTCACGTAACACATATATTTTGAAGACAGATGGTTCCGGTCTGCCTTATTTTTAAAAGCTGCTGCATAACATCCTCTTGTAATCCACTAAGGCAATCTCTTACTCAGCTCAGAAAGCAATGGGCCATCACTTTTAATAACAAGCTCGAAAATCTACATTTATCATAACCAACGCACCTCACGACGACACTCGGTTCCCCACCCCTCCACTTTCATCAGCCTGAGGCTGAGCCTGAGATAGCATGACATTAAATAGTCCCTTTTAGAAATTCGAGGAAACACCTTACCAGGTGTCACTGCCATAAAATACACTTTCCACCCACATGCCCCATGCCTAGAATTCAATGGTGATGGTGGCATTCTTTAGGGTTAATCATGGTTTCCTTCCTTTTCTTTAAGTGGTTCCGCTTTAGAGTACAAAGTTCGTGATGGACTCTTTCTCTTATACTATTGCAGTAGTATAGTACTAATTGAAGTCTGTCCTTACTGCTTTAAGTGGTATCTGGTTTTATTTTTGACAAGGGGAAGTGTCCAGGATCAGCCTTTCCTTCCTTCCTTCCTTCCTTCCTTCCTTCCTTCCTTCAAATCTATTATTCATAAGAAAAACAGAAAAAGTTTGAATTTCACATTTGAGTTCAAGGATATTTTCAAAGGATTGAAATATAGATTTATAAAATCTTACCTAAAGAGAAACATATAATTTATTTTTTTTGTTTTTAGAGTATCTCTTTTACCTCTCTCTTTCTTTCTTTCTTTCTTTTTCTTTCTTTCTTTCTCTCTCTCTTTCTCTCTCTCTTTCTTCTTTCTTTCTTTTTCCTTTCTTCCTTCTTTCCTTTTCTTCCTTCCATCCTTCCTTCCATCCATCCTTCTTTCTTTCCTCCCTTTCTCTGCTTTCTTTCTTTCCATTTTTCTTCCTTCCTTTCATTCTTTTTTCTTTTCTTTTGTTTTCTTTTTCTTTTTTTCTTCTTTCCTTTCTCTTTTATTTTTCTTTCCTTCCGTCTATCTGTCCTTCTTTTCTTCCTTTCCTTCCTTCCTTTTCTCCTCTTTCTCTCTCTTTTCAGGATCAGCCTTTTCAATAAGCATCCCAGGGAGGTTTGAGTATAGAGGTTCATAAGCCATATTTTCATAAATTACATTTCCCTATGACAGCCCTTTTGAATGGGGGCCATGTTTTCTCCCATACTGCACTGCCTGTAGTCCACCCAGTTTTCATTTCAGTGAGAACATTCCAGAAACCAAACTAAGGATCAATTCCAGGTATTTCTCCAGTCACCTCTGGGAATGGCTGCGTGTCATTAGCATCTAGTACCTCATTTGCTGCCCAGCTAGAAGGACACTGTTCCAGGTCTCTGACTTAGCTAGCACTCCGCCATGTTACTCATGTAGACACCCCTCCCTCAGACACCTGTAAGCCCACAAAAAAAAAAAAAAAAAAAGGAATAGGACACCAGGACACCTTCAAGTACAGGCGGAGCCTCCTGACCATACTTCTGTGTGGAAGTGTGCTGGATAGTGTTGGTTGGCTCTTGACACCTGTTTCTACCCGCTTCTCTGCAGGTTCTGGAAGCCTGAACCCACATTTCACAGGTTCCCTTGAAAACAGAGTTTTGCCAATAAAAGGTACTTGTGTGAAATCTGGAAGGTGAAAAGGAGGTGGGCGTCAATCTTTTCTCCTCTGTAGCAGGTTGCATGTTGTCTGTGGTGGTTTTAAAATATGTCCACAAATTCTTTGACAATTTTTGATTCAAAAAGTGGAGTCTAAGGCCTCTCCCCTTGAATGCAAGCTGGATTTAGTGACTGACTTCTAACTATTCATGTTACATAGTAGAAATGATGCTATGTATCATCTGAGGCTAGGGAACAAAAAGAATAACTTCTGTCTCTGTCTCTCTGTCTCTGTCTCTGTCTCCATCTCTCTCAGATTGCTCAGTCTGGAGGAAGTCAGCCACCATGTTGTGAAGACATTCAACCAAGTAGCACGTGGGCAGGCCCACATAGGGCAGAACCGAGGCCTTCTCTAACAACCGGCACCACCTCGACAGCTACATGAGTGAGCTCCCTTGGAAGTGGCCTCTCCAGCTTCAGTCAAGCCTTCAGATGACTGCGGCCTGGGCCAGTGTCTGGAGAACCTCAGTGGAGACCCAGAGCCAGGACTGCCTAAGCCACTCCTGAATTCTTGAGTCACAAAAATTGTGAGGAATAAATGTTTATTGTTGTTTTAAGCCACTATTTTTATGTAATGTTACATAGCACTGGATAATCAATACACTGCCTGGTACAGGGGTTGAGCCAGACTTGAGACCCTCTGAGCTGGTATATTATTGAATGGTACCCTTGTAATGGCTGGGGACTTTGGCCCTGGGCTCCAAGTCTTCCCTTCTACCATAATATTTGCCATGCCAACAACCCATAGATTTTCCTGGGCAAAAAAAAATACCTTGACCCCCTGTCATGTAAAAAGGACAGTAGAATCAAATGTGCAGATATACAGTAAGGTGTTTTGTTGTTTTGGAGAAACTGACAAGCAGAACAATAACAGTTTACTCAGTCCCCAAGCTTTCAGAGAAGGGGGTCAGGCCAGACTTAGCTGGACCACATGTCCCATGGCTAGAGCTCCTGTGGAGAGGGAGCCTGCCTGGAATACACTGCATTTATAGAAGCAGGTGGGCAGGGAGCATCATATCACTAACAAGGAAACTGCTTGGTCAAAGAAATGGTCTTATTGGAAAAGGGGAGTCTATTTCTTCCATTGCTCGCTAGTACCTGCTGAGCTAGCTCTCTGCTGGGCTATGGAAAGGAGAAAGGAAATGAGTCTCCAAGACGATCTCATTTGTTTCTCCTCACCTTCTGGATTCCCAACACTCCACTGATCCCCATTCCCAGGTTATGCTTTAAACACAGTAAATATTTGTGGGCTCACTTAAGTCACCGCAGAGAAAAACACCTGTTTTTATTTTCATAAGAAATGTGGGGAGGTAACTTGGGCAGGCACCACAGGAGAACAGCATCGACATACTGATAAACCAGAGGAGGAACCAGCAGCCCCTTAACGTTGCCTGGAACCCTACCTAACCAGCAAAACATGCTGAGCCATTTCCCAGTCACACTGCTCCTCTGGGGGACTCTGTGTTACTGTCCTGCACATGGCTGGCACCAATCTTCATCTCATATTACTAAACCATCAGCATTTATTTGTGGTCATTTAGGTAGATCATCAAATCTTGTTTGTTCAGAATTTCTTTAACTACTCAGGTATTTAACTCTCACTGACTTACTAAATGTGATTTATTAATGACTTTCTGTGCATTAGTGGAGGAACCTTTGCATTTTCTGCAGACTGCACTTGCATTATCACTTGAAATCATGGAATCGTGGATCTGTGCTGGGCGAGGAAGGAAGTGGGTAGGTGTAATGCTGGGCTGGGCTGGGCTGGAGAGAGCTGAGCAGCACACACCTGACCCTCAGTGGGGTCCAGAGAGGCTAGGACGGTCCATGTGAATGGAGAAGTGGCCCCGCCAATACGTTTTCTGAAATAAAAGCCTGAGAGGGGCAGTCTTGGGCAGTTACTGCTCTCACATTCTCCTTTACCTTATCCCTCCAGCACCTCCCTGCTAGTTATTCCAAGGTTGGAATTTTTAAAATTAAAAAAAAAACCAACAAAAAAACAAAAAACAATATGGATTTTCCACTAGCTTGCAGGGTAAAGAACCCCCTACATCAAGATGGGGCACACATCTGTGCATTAAAGAGCTTATGGGGAAAGACAGGCCCTGCCGTGAAGGCAGGCTCAGTGATCCAAATGTTCTGGCCGCCCCACAGACCTGATGAGAGGGGCCGTAAGTGGATGATCTTTTATGGGCAGGAGGTCAAGCATGTTGTCGATTACGGGTACTTGGTGAACCGGGGGAGAGAGCACCAGAACAAATGATTATTTGACTTAATAACCAACACCCCTTGAGGATGATGTGTTTCCCAGTTCCCAGGGACTGGCTGCACTGGGGAAATGAGAGAGAGAAGCCCCTTTTCATCTTTCTTTGCCCACACTGGCTCTCGAGGAAGTACTGGCTACCACAGGGATTCTAACTTCAGCCCTGCTTTTCTTGCCTATGGTCCTCATTACTTGTATATAAATACTTAACTATTTACATTTTAATTCCTCACCACATGGCTAGAGTTGGTTATTAAGTTATACATTTTAATATGAGAAAAATAAGTATTTGACAAGCAATGCCGAGAAGCCAATATTACAAAATAAAATTTGCAGGTGGCCTGAGGCAGGATGGGGTTCAGTCTTTGACGGTGTCATGTCCTGCCTGACTTTCCTCAACTGGCTCTTCAGTAGCCGATTCTCTAAACAGAACCTTCTCTGTTGAGGATTCACCGAGCTCCCTGGGGTAAGAAGAATAATGCCAAGGCTTTTACTCTTGAAAGGAACAATTAAACTATTCATTATTTCCTTATTTTAGATAAGAAAGCTAAATCGTCCCCAATCATTTACCCTTTATCCTTATTGAAAATCTCATCCTCATCAGAAGAATCTTTGTCATGCAGTTTCTGGGCCATGTTTTTCTTGCGTGTGGCATTAAGAGGTCTGTACATGTCCCTAAGCCAAAGCGGCCGTCTTCTCCAGAAAAAGCCCTCCTAGAAAACAGGCAGGGAAACATTAATTCTGCAATTGCCGTGCTTTCTCCCGCCATAGCTCTTTATCCTGCTCAGATTTACCTGATTCTCCCGTTCCACTGAGCACCTCCTACGCAGCAGAAATCGAAAAAAGCCCCTTGGAGAAAAACACATACCAACAATTAGTGATTTGCGTTATTTTCCATGTCTCTCACGACGTATAGTTCTGGTCTTATTAGCGCTAAATGGGTACTTTGTCCCACAACCACAATGAGCAAAATCGCCACAGACCTGAGACCTAGAAAATAGTCCCATGCATGCTGGGCTGCCAAGAAGTTCTCTGTGTCTGTCCAACATGGCCCCACAGTGTCCCTGGGGAGACCTCTGTATGTGGCTTGGTGTGGAGTACAGACAGGACCTGCAGTCCCACTCACCTGCTTGGTTCTTGGCCAGGTGCCCTCATGCAATGAAAAAAATGCACCACCGCCCTGGGCAGAAGCACTTCGCTCTCTTCAGAGCATTTTACATCGGTCCCCTTTGGATTTAGTCTCACATGCATCACTTGCAAGGGGTGGCGGAAAGGGTGCTTTTATTTTCCTAGCTGCTTTATCCTTTAAGTTAGATCACACCAACTAAATGCTTGAGTCCAACTAGCATAGTTATCTAGCTCACTGACTTTCATTCTGCAGGCTGTCACTGATGAGTGAGTCGTGAAATCAGTTTAATGGTCATGACCAGCACTACAACACAAAATATTCTTTTCGGATACAAACGAAATAGAAAAAAAATCAGAGTGCATAATAAGTTTGTTTTATGTCTATATGGTATGTGTGTACAGAGTTGTGACATAAAATGTAGCTCATAGCCCAAGCACAGTATAATCAATGGAGAAGTCCCCAATGGGAAAGGAACCATCTTCCTTCCAACACTCACTAGCGGTGTGACATGGGGCAAGATATTTTCCTTTTGCCCTTCTCCATTTCCCTATTCTAAAAAGAAGAAACAAACTACTGTCTAAGGTTTCTCCCAGTTAAAACTGGATAAAGGGAACAGAGAGTGGGGGCTTGAAAACCAGTAGGATGAGAAGGGACATTTTCCTGCTACTTTTCAGAAAGGACTCAAATATTGTGCCTTCCACCAGCTTTGAAGGAGACCAGCCCTCTTACCCCAAATCACATGGCCTTCCCTACCCCTTCCCTGGAGCCTTTGAGGAGGCCTCTGGACTGGCCTGATGCCTACCGCCAGCAGGAACAGGTACAGCCAAAACCTCTCCCTCTCCACTCTCTTTCCTTAAAGGACTAGTGATAGCAGATGCGTCTGTGCCAGTCACATTCTGTCTCAGCTTTGGCTAAGGAGCTGATTTGCCGAATCCAGGTAAAGCATTAGGGTAAATAAGTATTGTTCCTGACTTTGGTGGTTTCCTAATCGTAAAATGAGGAGATTGAAATAGATGAGTTTTAAATTCTCCTCTAGTTCTAAAATTCTACTTTAAAAATTTTTAAATTTTAAATCTTACTCGTCATGCCCTTGCCCTTTGCTTCAGCAGCACATACACTAAAAATTGCCAGACTATTATTTACCTTGAGCTTCCTTCTTTATCTTCCTCTGATGCTGTTCTATGAGAATAAATCTGTTTGGAAGGAAACATGATCATGATTATCCATCACAATGACTACTATTCTCTAAATCTTTATTCATTCCTTGTAATTTTAAGTCTTATCTACCCAGTGAGATGATAACTTTCTTTCTGAGGACAGGCATTCTATCCTGTTCACTAGTCCTTTGACTCTTCCATAGTACTTAACTTAGGACCATGCAGGCAGCTGGCAATGCATTTTATTGACTGTATTGGATAACATTCAATGGATAGATAATTCCTCATAAAAACTCTTAGTAAAAGAAAATAAAAGTATCTGCCAGAAACCTAAACAGCAGTGTTGTTTTAAAGTCGAGAACAAGAGTAGGATGTCCCTCACTACTGCTACTCTTCATCGTTGCTGAGGAGATCCTAATCAATTTAATTTAAAAAATGAAGTATTGGAAAGGAAGAGACAAAACATATTTGCATATGAAATGACGGACAACCAAAAAAGCCCAAAAGAATCACTAAAATTTTATTGAAAGTAACATGAGAATTCAGTAAGATGGCTAGATATAAAATCAAGAGATCAACATGCAAACCTCAACAGCTTTCCTATATACCACAAACGAAATGTGTATAATCTATGTGACGAAAACATTAAAGCTCTACTGAAAGACATTAAGAAATGAATACATGACATGAGATACTGTGTTCCTAGAATGTTATAAAGATTTCAATTCTCTTCAGATTAACCTACAAATCAATGCAATCGATCATATTCAAATCCCAAGACAGTTTTTTAACAAAAACTGGCCAGCTGACATTTGGTAGAAAAAATATGCAAGAATAGCTATGAAATCTATGAAAAAGAAGATGAAAGAGCAGGGGCTTACCTTACCAGCTATCAAAATATGTTATAAAGCAACTGGAATGATGTAGTATGATACTGATACTGGTACAGGATAAGATAACTGGGTCGATAGAATAGAGTCCAGGTAAAGATCGTATTTTAGATTGGTGAAGAAAGAATGAGCCATTCACTGACAGATTTTAAAACAATTGGATCTCATGAAGGGGAAAAAAGTTAGAGTCCCTTTCCTCAACCACACCAAAAACAAATAAAATAAATTCTAGATGGATTAAAAATGATAAATAACAACAAATATTATGAAAGTACTAGAAGAAAATAACAGAAGCTATTTTCATACCATGAGGTGACAAAAGCCTCGCTAACAAAACCCACACCCCATGAGCCACGAGGAAGGGACAGGCAGATACACTGACAGACTGTCAACATGCTTCCTACTCTTCACAGCCCTGGCCCCCTTCTCCCCTTGATTGTGTCTTCTTCCTATTGATTTACAAAACTCTCTTTCATATTAAATATAATAATCTTTTCAATGGATTTCACTGAATTTCATTGTTTCGAATATCCTCCCGTGTTTTTATCTTTAAGGAGACAGAACAGTGAAGTAAGGAGCACAGGCTTTGCAGTCAGGTGAAACCAAGTTCTGCCACTGGGGCTTTAAGCTGATCTCCTTCATCTATGAAAGAAGGTGGGGATATCATCCTCACAAGATTGTGAGGGATTGAATCAGATAATATATGGAAAACTCTTCACCCCATGCTTGGCATAAACCAGTGCTAAGTTTGCTTTTGGTGTCACAGACAAGGTGATCAAATCTATCAAAGGGTTCTGCCTGTGATATCAGGCTCAGAAAACTCTTATCTACCACAAGACTATAAAAAGATCGCTTCTATTTTCTTCTAACACTTTTATGGGATTTTTTTTTTTTACATTTATGTAAATACGTTTGTTTAAAGTGAGAAACAGACATCCATTATTTTCCTCTCACATAGTTAGGAGGCTAATTTATTACCATTTATTTATTTTCTTCTACTGATTAAAGTATTGAAAGGTTCTAAAAGTCTTAGGAACACATGGGTCTGTCAATTGCTGAACTCTGCCTGTTACTTCAAATATATATTAGGTAGTATTACTCCTCATTGTGGAATTGACATAATGCCTCATCTCCCTTCCTTTGAACACCATTACTGTCTACTAGAGTAAAAACGGTACATGGCCCCTGTCCTCAAAAAGCTTATCATCTAAGTGGGTAGAAGAAATAATTAAACCACATAAATAAACACAAATGCAAGGTTAAACTACATAGAAATGAAAAGCAGTGTAGGTGTTTATAGGAATTCCAAAAAAGCAAAAGGCCACATGCCACCTGGAGATGGAGAGGGTATTGTCTGAGCAACGGCCACTGACTGTCTTCCCAGAGACCTTGGCAAGCTGACGCCATGCTAATCCCCAACTCCTTCCCATTGGGGCAGTCTCACCTTACCAATACCATAGGATTAACCAAAAATCAGAACGCAGACTGTGACTTGACACTGAGAATTACATCTGTTCCACAGACAGCATCTGTCTACATGATCAGGGAATTACGTTCTGTAGAACTAGGCCACTGTGGCACACTAAAGCATAATTAGAAGGCTACTTGGTGAGAAGAGAATTAGAACAGAAGGAACCAATCGAACCCAATGTTTCATGGAAAGGACTGAGATAGCTGGATCCATGCATCTCCCCAACAGGCACAGCCTGCCTAGTGGGCCTGACTCGCTACACCTGCCTGAGGTGCCATCTCTACTCTTGGGCAATGCCAGGGTGGGCATTACCTATGTTGGTGTCTTCTTCACTTTTTCTATGCTTTTACTACTGACCAACCCTCCTGCAGATAGACACATTTCTCTTTGGCATTTAGTACATTCCGTCAGATTTTATTCAATTTTGATAGAACAGGAAGCCATTTGTATTGTGCTTCATGGTGTATTGACCTTGGTATTTCCCTCTTGGGGAGCCTTTTAAAAAAACTGTTTACTATATTTTTAAGTTCTCAGGGGGAGGACTTTAAGTTCTTACTATTGCCCCTATTGACAAATCTCACAGAGGTGTGAGGACCAGGAGGGCTGGGGTATTCAGGGAAGGCTTTATGAGGAAAGCTGACTTGATTTTATTTTTGAGAGATTCATAGGACTTCCACAGGCAGAGCAAAATAAAAGAATTTTAGATGGGCGAAGGCACAGACAAAAGTAGAAATGGGTGTCTATGGCCATGCGACTCTGAACACACCCAATTTCATCTGTTCTTGGAAGCTAAGCAGGGTTGGGCCTGGTTAGTACTTGGATGGGAGACCACCTAGGAATACCAGGTGCCATAGGCACTTAAAAACAAACAAACAAACAAACAAACAAACAAACAAAGTGGAAACGGGCATGGTGCAGCTAGGTTGTGGTGAGAGGCTGCCTCGGCTGGAGTGGAAGGAGGGCCGCCATGACAGTGCAAAAGGTAAATAAGGTGAATTACATTGGAGTGGTAGGTAGAGTCAAGATTGTCAGCTTATTAAATCAGTCTTTTAATGTTAGCACCTGGCCGTTGGGAAAATAAACCATTATGTAATTGAACAAAAGGTACACAGGAAAGCTGCAGGAACAGGTGACTATAAATATGACATGCTTTAGAGTAGCCTGATGCAGGATTTAGGCTGCAGTGCTTTAACTACACCTATTTGCATAATGCCTCACACACTGGAGAAGAAAGCTAAGTAAATCTAATGAATTGACAAGATGACTTTTTATCTTTTCGCCATGTCCTTCCTCCCAGGGTGATATAGCTCCATGAAGATGGAGATTAACACTCTCCCTCCTCATTTAAGCCAACAAGGAAAGAAATCAGTGATAGAGAGTGATTTATGTGTATATCAAATCAACGTCATTCTGAGTTGAAGAAATTTTGCTATCGTGTCAACTTTGGCCCATTACATTTAACTTCTCAAAATAGTCCAATGGCTTGTTATTTCGGTTTCGATTCCACAGAGCTCTCAGGGAGAGGGCTTCCTTTAAAAATTCCTGGAATATAATTTGCAATAAAAGAACAAAGCATGTCTTAGTCCTCATGACTGAAGAGGAATATCAAGTAGTAGTAGGTGGGAAAATGGCTTTAATTTTCAGTTTGTAGGTTCTGAATCTATTATAAAGACAGAATATATTTTGGAAATCTGAATTAACTGTTGTCTTACCTCAATGAGACAGAAAATTATAATCAAAATCATCACCACTACAGTCACAGATATTGCCAGGATGAGTTTGTTGTTGTAACCATATCCTGGAACTTCTTTTGTGAGCTAAAAAAAATAAATAAATAAAGAATAATTTTTTTAAAAAACAAAAAAATGGAAAGGATGAAAACTATTCTTAATCTTATTCTAAAGAATAGCTAACCATTCTTAAACTACTGTCCTAAAACCCCACTCTTTCAGGTGAGCAGCTTATAGGTTCTTAAAGAACAAACCAAATCTAGTGTGTTATACAATCTTATCATTAGCAGTTTCTTCTACAATTTATTTATCTTGTGTGTCAGGTCCTCTTTGTCTACCCTAGGAATAGCGGCACCATTCTCTAAATGAGCAAAGTAGGCGATTGCTGTCTTAGCCAAAGTTACATGGCAAGACAAGACACAGACAAGGCACCCCTGGTCCTTATCCTGAACTGACTTAAGGTCCAGGTTCCATGTTTCAGGAGCTGTCCTCACCTCGCGTAACTCCTGCCCTCCTTTCTGTTCAGCCTGGGCTTCTGTGCTCTCATTGATATAGTTCTCATTTTTCCACTGATCCGTATCCCACTCTGCCTTGGCCACCTTTACTTCTTGCTGTTCACTGAGAAGCTTCATCAGGAGGCCTGTTCTGGATATGAGCTTGGCACAGGCCAGTTGCACGGTGACCTCAGAGCAGTCCATTTTCAAAGTGCGGATAACATGAGAAATGAGCTTTCTCACATCATTGTTGGGGATGAGGGACCGTAGCTGCTGGTTTAGCTGAGTTTCAAATTGATCACCAGGGGATGAGAAAAATGGAAAAGTGAAGCCTTGGGCTGTGGAGGGTGAATCGGTGCCCACATTGTGGTATTCCCACTGAGTTTCATTGGTTTGTTTAACAGTTGGCATTAAGTTGTCGGCAGTAACAGCAGAATCTGCCGAGGAAACGTTCTCATGGTCAGAGGTTTTAGGGATAATTTCTTCTGGCACAGTAATATTTCCCATAGGAACATTTTCTTCAAAAACAGTTTGTGCAGTTCTGTTTGCTGCAGTCGCATTTTCTGTAGCAGTTTCTGAAAGAGAAAAAAAATCTGGATTTTCCTGAGATGTCAGTTCTTCTGATGATGAAAAAGACTCTCGTGCAGGGGAATTTATGAGGCTCTTCACTACAGAGAACGGAGGTCTCTTGGCAAGCATCAGTCGATGGAGTGAACCTTCCTTTCTGAACTTTCGACTCATTTTGGGCTTGGATGTTTTCTGGATCACATGAGAGCGACTTTTATGAAAGAGGTGTTTCTTTCTGGCATGTGAGACTAGTTCGGAAGCCTTCATATTTCTAACTCTAGCATGTGCATTTTCTAAAATGAAAATAGGGTAGCTAAAGTCTTTTGATTTGTTTTTAGCCTGAGGTAGGGATCCTGGATAGGTGGAGTCTGAAGGCCTGCCCATTGAGAATTGTTTCAGGAAAGATGAAACTGCTGCCTTATGTTTGTTTATGAATGAAGGCTCTGTGTTGAAGGAGTTTTCCACCAATTTCCTGGGCCTGTGCACCATGTGAAGATATTCCAGCTCCCTTGGGGATGGCCTCCTGAGTCTTCTTTCTTTGACTGTGTTCTCCACAATTGGCTGGGCATTCTGTTTCCTCCTGAAGCTCTGATCTCCCACTTCTTTGAAGTGCCTTTTCTGTATGCCCCTTGGGTCCTTGAGGACCCTGTTCACTCTCAGCAGCCTTTTCCTGACACTCTGAATCTTTGCTAAGCTGTTTTCTTGTGGCTGGTTAGTTTTCAATTTTTTCTTTCGAAATATTTGGCGTTTAAATTTGGGGCCTAACAGGTTGGAATTTATAAGCATGGCAGTTTTTTCTTTCTTTTTAACCTCATCAATTTTCTCTTGAATTTCTGCATCTAATAAATTTTCCAGAAAATAGAGTTTTCTTAATTTATTTTTGTAAGTTGAATTGTCGGATTCAGGTTTAAGCGAAGGGTCGTTTGTGTTGTTTTTCAAATGACTCAGGGGCATATCTCCATCTTGTACATTTGAAAAAAGGAGTTTAATGAATGGTAATAATATTGATTCTACGTCTTCTAGATTTCCCTCTGAGAAATAAGGCAGTATGTAATTTAGTGCACTAATAACATCACTTTCATCATTAAAGTCTAGCTGCTCGTTCATGGAGCCTGACAAACTGATGCCATTTTTGTCTGAGGATGCCTTCTCTGGTTCAATGATCAGCTCAGTGCTGGTGTTCTTCTTCCGTGCTTGTAATACCTTCATGAATGACCCTTCTGCATTCCCTATGGCTATTTCTTCATCTGTCAAAAAAGAAAAGACCACTTTTGAAAATGAAAGACTGATAGGACAGCTTTTTGTTAGTCTGCAGTCATATATCCCAGTCAAATAAATTAGGAATCAGCAAACTTTTGAGTGCCATTTAGAGAGGAGAAAAATAAACCCAAACTTAAACTTATCTATGATTGGCAACACAACAAAAGGAGAGAAAGACATATTTTGAAAAAGTGCCTATCTACTGAGAATATTCCATAGTGTGAAATACAGTAATTACATTTAGGATTATTCCATTGGATCCCAAAGGCCAACTCCCTGATACTCAAGAAAAGCCAAGGCTGGAAGACCCCACTCAGTTAGACTTTCTGCAGATCTACTGTGACTCTTCACACTTATATAGGCTACTCTGTCCTGCTCCTCAGATAAGAAAGTGCCTATCTACTGAGAATATTCCATAGTGTGAAATATAGTAATTACATTTAGGATTATTCCAATGGATCCCAAAGGCCAACTGCCTGATACTCAAGAAAAGCCAAGGCTGGAAGACCCCACTCAGTTAGACTTTCTGCAGATCTACTGTGACTCTTCACACTTATATAGGCTACTCTGTCCTGCTCCTCAGATGCAGAGAGAAAATGAGGCTTCCTCTTTCCACCTCTTCGGCATCCTCGTGTTCTTGGCCCCATCATAGATGACCACAACAATACCCACTGCTAACAGCTCCTCATCTGGACATGCCCTTCTCCACTTACCTGCTGATTCCTTTGCTTGGTTCCTGCTCCTGCATATCCCAGCCCCCATAACAGAAGACTCTATACAGAAGAAAACACTATGTCTACCCTTGCTCTTTGCCTAAATATGGGCAGGCATCTGGGATGTGGGTTAAGAGATTTACCAGGTTGTATGCCAATGTGGCATGTTCAGTAAATCTATGGAATAATACTTGAGGTCCTAAAATGCGTAAGGGAAAAAGCAACTTTTGTCAGATGCCTACTTTTCTTTCATTTCATTTCTTATCGTTTCAGCTTTACTTGGAGAACCATCCACAGCTTCTGACTGCATAAAAGTTGAGTGTACCACTGTATAGCTGGGTTTCTTTCCCAGAAGAATGAAAAGTATTGTTGTTGGTGCTGAAGGTCAGAGGAGGAGGTAAGAATCCTGAGCAAGCAGGAGCATAGGCTTGTGGAGAGCCCCACAGTGGAAGCAGGAGATCTAGGCACTAGGCTACAGGACTTAACACTTCTGATCTTGTTTTCACTCACCTATAAAAGGAGATTAAAATGCCTGTTCTGCCTACCTCTGGGGGAGAAGGTAGTAATATAATTGGTAAAAAAAAAAAAATTGTTTTGAAAAAGGAGCAACACTGTCTTTATATAAGTAGCAGAGTGTTATTATTTATGATGCGCCCCAGATCATTGACAGAGACCAGTATTCAAGCTATCTGGGCGTGAAAGCACATTTTGGAAGTTATCAAGTCAGTGCCAATGACCTTAATATATAGAAAACTACTTAAAAGCACCCAAGGGTTTTGTGGGTAGAAAATCTTGAGCTTCAGAGTTAGTCTGAGAATACGAGAGCCCTCCCATCCATTCGAAAACCTGGGTAGCAGCTTCTGGCGATGGAACCAGAAATTCTCAGGTTCCAAATAAAACTTTTATAAAACAGCATCACTTGTACTCTTTTTATAAAATTACAAAAACAAATTAAATAAAAATGTATCTATATCTGTCTTATAAGTGAAAGGGCACTTGAGACCTAATGCATAGAAAATCAGTTTATAAATTGTGATGCACTATATGAATAAGTTCTCATTTAGACGTAAAGCACCAAGCAGAGAGCACAATGCAAAATATATAGCCATGAATGTTAATTCTTTTCCCTTTTCCATTCCTTCCTCTTGTTCTTTAATCTGATTTTTAGCAAGGGAGTTCTTAGAAATTTAGGGAGTCAAACTCTGAATGAATAAAATTAACGCGATTACATTATTAGTTTAAAAATTTATCATCATTGATTAAAAATAAAAAATTAAAACAAATAAAAATTTAAAAATTTATCATCAGGCAATTCAGACTCACCACAATATGAGGTGTTTGTCAGACATTCAGTATCACAATGTAGTTTGACTGTCTTGCAGACAACCTCAATACTGTTTTTAAATTTGCAGAGGCAGCAGGCAATACGAGTAGGTAAGATCCTATAAATGGAAACACAGAGAAATTAGTGGCAAAGGAGTTACTTGAGTAGGTAGAAGAGGTAGGCGAAGGCTACCACAGGGCTATGTAAGAGGGAATTCTTGGGGCATGTGGCCTGGTCAGTTGAGTAGGGACCAGTTGGCCATTTGCTGCTCTTGAATGATGTAAATAAATAGAGAAGAGGACAAGGATGCTCGACAGAAGGATGGCAGTAGGTATGGTATTCCTAGAACAAAGATGATAAAGATTAGAATTGGATGACATGAATCTGAAATTTAATTCAGAAGTTCTCCTCCCAACCTAAATGTCTCTCTTTGGGTTGAGAATAAATGAGAAGAGAGAAGACTTCTAAGAAGAGGCTAAATAAGTCTCTCACTTATGGAGTCCCTTTCTTAATTCCTAATTATAAGTGGTAAATATATTAGAAATATATATTAGAAATTACTCAGGGCATACAAATTGTTGTGTAGTTAAACATAACAGATTGCATTGGCCAAATGTGGGCAATCTGAACAGTCAAAAGAATGATGATGATAAGGTATAACATAATTAATTTAAAGAAGAGCCCAGAAGTTCATAATGATACTCAAAAAGAAAAGGGGGGGGCTATTATTTATAAAATAATGCCAGCTAATAAATGTAGAAGGAATGACAGAATTAGAAAAAAGTGTCACTTTGCAACCATTGATGTAATAATTAATTTAGACAAGGATTTACTGATGCACAGTTGGGTAAAAAGCTGAGAGTAGAATCTTCACTGATCTCAAAGTATCATCCCACAGATGATAAAATAAAGAAAAAATAACTCTACAATGGAGAGATCTGGAAAATATCACCTTAATCAAGTGATCAAACTTAGCATTATGGGCCACTTGAAGTGATGAGGTGGGAAGGATGCATCACCTACGCAGTATTCTTCCCAAAAATATTTACCTTGAACATAATCATGAGGATACAGACAAATCCATATTGTGAGACAAGTTAAAGACAACTGTCTTAGATTCTTCAAAAGTGTCAATGTCAAGATGACCAAAAAAAGAAGTAGAAAAATGTTTTAGACAAAAGGAAACAAAGACATGACATGTGATATCTGATTTTTTATTGGATCCTGAATCAAAACAAAACAGATTTAAAGACTATTATTGGCTTCTGGCCAAGATGGAGCAACTGGGACCAATTTAACTTCCTACCTGAAACAATGAAAAAACCTGACAAAATATATAAAACAACAGTTTTCAAGAAACTGGACCTCAGGCAATGAAGGACAGTAATCCCCAAGAGATGTAAATAAATGAAGTGAGCCCTGTGATTGCTCTAGCTTACTGCTCTGAGTTTATAGGTCATGATGCAGGGAAGAAAAAACCTAGGCAGAGACCGGTGGACTCTCTAAGGAGTATGGGGAAACAAGGTAACTAGAGTTTATGAAGAAGAGTACTAGAAAGAAAAGAGGTGCACAGACAAGAACTCTGGGGCTATTATGCAGAGGGATTGCTTAAGTATTCAACAAAGTACTGACCAAGAAAACAACCACATTAAAGGATTAGAGACAAGAACAGTTGTATATGACACATGGTTAGGAATAGTACCTGTTCCTACAAACCCGAGATTAAAAACTACAGCGTCTAAATGAAAAAGACACTGAATGGGATTAATGGCAGATTAGACACTGCAGAAGAAAAGGTCACTGAATTTAAGGCAGAGCAATAGAAACTATCCAAAATAAAACATGAAGAGAAACAAAAGAAACAATAACAGAGCATCAGTGAGTTGTACAACTTCAAGTGCTTAATATATGTATACTAAGAGTCCATGAAGGAGAGGAAACATAAAAAATTGAAGAAATAATAACCCTCAATTTTCCCAATTGGTAAATACTATAAACTCACAAATCCAAGAAGGTCAATGAACTCCAAGCACAAGATATATGGACAAAACTAACCAAGGCACATCATAATCAAATTACTCAAAACTGGCAATAAAGGGAAAATCTTAAAAGCAGCCAGAGTGGGGAAAAACACACTATATACAAAGGAACAAAGATAATAACTACAGTAGATTTCTTGTTGGAAACTATGTAAACCAGAACTCGGTAGAGGAACATCTTTAAAGTAGTAAAGGGGGGAAGGGGACCCAACAACGATCAAGCTAGAATTCAATACCCAGATCTTTCAAAAACAGAAGCAAAATAAAGACTCTCAGACATACAAAAGCTGAAAGAATTTACCACTAATAGATGTGCACTATAAGAAATGCTAAAGAAAGTATTTTTCAGCAGAAGGAAAATGTTACCAGATGGAAATATAGATTATTACAAAGGATTAAAGAATACTGAAATTAGTAATTCCCTAGGTAAATATATAAGATTTTTCTTACTATTTAAATATCTTTAAAGATAATTGTTTAAATGAAAAATATATAGTATGCTGTTTATAACACAAACAAAAGTAAAATGTATGAAAACAATAGCACAAAGGCCAGGAGGGGAGAAATGGAAGTATATTATTGCAAGGTTCTAATAATATTCATGAAAGTGTATAATATCATTTGAAGATAGAACATAATAAACTAAAGATGTACACTATAAACCATAAAGCAACTGCTAAAATAACAGAACCTGAGTTATAACCAATTAGCTAACAAAGAAAATAAACTACTAAAATGTACGCAATCCAAGAGAGCAGAAAGAAAAAGAGGAAAAAAGAAACAACAACAACAACAACAAACCAGGTGGGACAAATAGAAAACAAATAGCAAGACAGAAGATTCAAATGCAATCACATCGATAATTACATTAAATGTAGCTGGTCTAATCACCCTAATTAAAAGAGTTGTCACACTGGATAAAAAAGCAAAAGCTAACTATATGCTGTCTACAAGAACCATCTTCAACAGAAAGATACAAACAGGTTAAAAGGATAAAAACATGCTATGTTAACACTAATCAAAAGAAAGCTGGGGTGGCTCTATTTCTATAAGACAAAGCCAATGTCAAAGCAAAGAATATTTCCAGGGATAAAGGAGGTTATTTCATCAAGGTAAAAAGGTCAATTAATGAAGAAGACATAATCTAAACACTTATATACCTGATAATAGAGCTTCAAAATATATGAAGAAAAAACGAGAATGACAAGGAGAAACAAACAAATCCACAATTGTAGTTGGATATTTTGATATCTCTCTCTTAATAACTGAAAGAACAAGTAGAAAATCAGTAAGGATATAGAAGACGTGAACAACATTATCAACCTACTTGACCTAATTGACATTTATGGAACACTCCATGCAAAATCAGAAAAATGCACATTTTTTTTTCAAGTGGGCACGTAACATTTACCAAAATAGATCATATTCTGTCTTGTTACTAGAATTTATTGACCATAAATCATTCAATAAATTAAAAAGGATATTAGTCATTCAATATATGTTCTCTAACCACAGTGGAATTAAATTAGAAATTAACAAATCTGAAAAAAATCTCCAAATGTTTGTAAATTAAAAGTAACCCTATGGGTCATAGAAGAAATCAAAAGGGAAATTAGCAACTATTTTGAACTGATTGAAATTGAAATCACAAGATGTCAACATTTAGGATGTTGCGAATGCAGCACTCTGCTTCTTCAGCTTCCACCTTAAGAAACTTGAAAAAGAAGAGCAAATTAATCACAAATAAAGGAGAAGAAGGGATGTAATAAAGATTAAAGCAAAAATTAATAAAAGAGAAAACAGAGAGATGAGTGAAATAACAAAATGGTTCTTAGAGAAGATTAACAAAATTGATAAACTAGCCAGATTGATCAAAAAAAGACAAGAGAAGACACAGATTATCAAAATTAGTAACAAGCGGGGTGATATTACTATAGTCTACAGATATTAAAGGGATAATAAGAAAATATTATAATATTTTATGCCAATAAATTCAAGATGAAATGGACAAATTTCTTGAAAGACAGAAACTACTAATGGTTATTCAAGAATAAGTATGTAACTTAAATAGCACTATTAAAGAAATTGAATGTGTAGTTTAAAAACTTCCTGTAAAGAAAGCTTCAAGCCCACAAGTCTTCACTGGTGAATTCTACCAAACATTTAAGGAAGAAATAATGGCATTTCTACACAAACTGTGCCAGAAAATTGAAGACAAGGGACTATTTCACAACTCATGTGTAAAGTCAACTTTCCCTTTATCAAAACTAGTCAAAGATATTACAAGAAAAAAAACTACAGACCAAAATCTCTCATGAACACAGACGGAAAAATTCTAAATAAAATTTTAGCATATAAAATCCAACAATATATAAAAAGATGATATATCATGGCAAAGCCGGGTTTATCTCAAGAATACGAGGTTGGTTTAACTTTAGAAAATTAATATAATTTACCCAAGTTAATAAACTAAAAAGGAAAAGTCATACGTCATCGCAATAGATGCAGAATCTGACAAAATCTAACACCTATTCCTGATTTTAAAAAAAAAACCCTCAGCAAACTAAGAATGGAAGACTTCCTCAATTTCATAAATGACTTCTATAAGAAAACTAACATCATATTTAATCATGAATGACGAAGTGCTTTTTCCCCTAGATCAGGAAAAAGGCAAGGATTTCTGCTCTCATTACTTCTATTCAACATTGTACTGAATGTCTTGGTTAGTGCAATAGGGCAAGAAAAAGAAATAAAAGGTATTCAGAATGAAAAGGAAGAAGTAAAACTATCTTTATTTGCAGATAACTATTATCTGTGTAGGAAACTTGATGGAATGTACAAAAAGGCTACTAAAATAAATGAGTTTATGAAGTTTGCAGGATACAAGTCAATACACACAAAAATAATTAATCTCTAATATCTAGCAATGAATAATCAGAAATGGAAATTTTAAAAATACTCTTTATAATAGCATCAAAAGTGTAAAACGCTTAGGAATAAATTTGACAAAAGATATATAAGACGTGCACATTGGACATTGCAAACTATTGCTGGGAGAAATTAAGAAAGACCTAAATAAAGAGTGAGATATAATGCGTTCATGGATCAGAAGATTCAGTATTATTAAGATGTCAATTCCCCCCAAACTGATTTATAGATCAAAATCCCAGCAGGCTTTTCTGTAGAAATTGACCACTTAATTCTAAAATTCATATAGAAATGTGAAGCTCCTATAATAACCAAAACAACTTTCAAAAAATAAGCACAAAGTTGGAGGGCTATCACCAACTTGATTTCAAAACTTTTGAAGCTACACTTTCGAGACATTGTGATATTGGTATAAAGACAGACAAATAAACCAAAGAAGCAGAGCAGAAAGTCCACGAATAGAGAGATATGGACAACTGATTTTCAGATTCAAAGGCAGTTCAGGGAGAAAGGGTAGTTTTTCAACAAATAGTGTTGGAACAATTGGATAGCGACATGTTAAAAAGTGAACTTTAGGCCTTTAGAGCCACGCTTCTCTTGCTCAGGCCCGCTTCCACATCTGGAAATATACTTTCCCTTCTAATAAAACTTTTCTTAGGAAAAAAAAAGTGAACTTTAGTCCAAATCATATATAGAAATAAACTCGAATTAGTTAAAAAATCTAAATGTAAAACCTGAAACTATAAAACTTCTAGAAGAAAACATAGGAGAAAACCTTTAGGACCTTGAATTAGGCAAGATTTCTTAGATACAATATCAAAAGCATAATCTATAAAAAAAACAAGGATAAATTGGACTTTATCGAAATTAAGAATTTTACCCCACAAAAGACACTCTTGAGAGAATGAAAAGATAAGCCACACATGGGAGCAAATACTTAGCAAATTAAATATTGAATATAAGACTTGTTTCCAGAATAAATTCCATTTGTATATAAAGAACCAAAACTTAATAAAAATGTAGATAAAAGATTCAAAGATGTACGATGGCAAATAAGCATAAGATGTTTGATATCATTAATCATTCAGAAATGCCAATTAAAACTACACTGAGATACAACTATACACCTATTAAACTATGTAAAATTAAAGACTGACCATAGCAAGTGCTGGGAAACGTGTGAAGAAAACGAAACTCTCATACACTGCTAGTGGGGATGTAAAATGGTACAACCACTTTGGAAAATAGTTTTTTAAAAACTTAAATATTTACCTACCATATAATCAAGCCATTCCCCTTCCAGGTATTTACCCAAGAGAAATAAAAGTATATATCCATAAAAAGACTATCTGCAAATATTCATAGCAGCTTTCTTTGTAATAGCTAAAAATTGGAAAAATTCAAATATCTATCAATGGTGAATAAATTGTGGTATTTCCATATAATGGAATACTATTCAGCAATAAAAATAAATGAATTATTGATATACACAACAACATAGATGAATCTCGAAATAATCATACTGGGTGAAAGAAGCCATTTAGAAAAGAATAGATACTGTATGATTCCATTTATATAAAATTCTAGAAAATGCAAACTAATCTATAGCAATAGAAAGCAGATCAATGGTTGCATGGGGATTGGGGAGCACAGGGAGAAATAGGAAGGAAGAATTACAAAGAGACACGAAGAAACTTTTTGAGGTGATAGATATTTTGATTTTGGTGATGGTTTCATGGTACACACACACACACACACACATACATATATACGTATATATGCATATGTATCTCAACACAAATTATTGTATGTCAATTATACCTCAAAAAGCTGTTACAAATGATATAATTGAGACAACTGGGAAAATTTGAATATCAAATCTTTATTATATAATACTACTGTGTAGGAATTTAATTTCTTCAGTGCAGTAATAATAGTATTATAGTTATAGAGAGAAATGATTTTGAATATCCATCCAGAGAGGAAACTGTCTAGCTGACAAGGGAGGGACTGACTGTGGCAGATGCTGTGGGAGGCTGAGGAAGATGAGACTAGGGCAGTGACCAACAGATTTGACAATGTAGTGAAGACAGTCATTAGTAGGCTGACCTGACAAAAGCAATTGGAGCAGAGCCCTTTCTCATACTAATCTAACGTAACACCCTCACCTAGCCTTAGCATAATAGCAAGTTTCTATTAGCCTACCATATTGGAGGGGAGTTGGCACAATTTAAGATGCAGTAAGTTCTGTAACAAATTGTCACAATAGGGCTCTAGAAAAATATTTTTTAACTGCAAAAAAGAAAAAAGAAAGAAAGAAACCTGACCCTTACTTTATACCACATAAAAAAATTAACCCAAAATGAATTATAGACCTAAATGTAACTAGACAACTTCTGGAAGAAAACCTAGGAGAAAATCTCATAAAAGATTTCTTAGGTAAGACAGACAAAAAAAGCACAAACCACATAAGAAACAAAAAACTGCTAAATACAACCTGAGAGAAGGTATTTACTAAACATAGACCTGAAAGGACTTATATAAAGCACTCTTAAAACTAAGTAATAAGATAAATGCCCAATTAAAAAATGAATTTGAGGGTAGAGGGTTAAAGAAGTACAAATTAGTAGTTGAGAGATGGTCACGGGAATGGCGAGCATGGCTTAGAGAATGCAGTCAGCAGTAAGGTAATGGCTTTGTGTAGAGCCAGAGGGGCGACAGAGTAATCGGGGGGAATTGTTTCATAAACTATATAAATGTCTAACCAATGTACTGTATACTTGAAACTAATAATAAAATAAAATGCTAAAAATGGATTTGAATAGACACTTCATTGAAAAAGATTTTCAGATAGACACTCAACATCATCAGCTATTAGAGAAATGCAAATTAAAACTGCAATGAAATACAAACACACACCTACTACAAAGACTCAATTTTTTAAAAAACTGAACTATAGGAATTAGGTGAAAATATAGAGCAATTACAACTCTCATATACTGTTGGTAGGAATGCATGATGGTAAAACCACTTTAGAAAACAGTTTAGTAGTTACTTAAAAAGTCATATGCAGTGAGCATATGATGAAGCAATCCCACCCTTAGGTATTTTACCCCAAAGAAATGAAAACATATATTCACACATGTGAGTGATTTTAGCAGCTTTATTCACAATATCCAAAAAACTAGGAAAAAACTGAAATATCCCTTAATGGATGACTACATAAACAAACTGGTATAGTCACACAGCCAGAATGTTACTCAGCAATAAAAAAGAATAAACTACTGATAGGTGCGACGACATGGATGAATCCCCAAAGGATCATCCTAAGGGAAAGAAGCCAAACACAAAAGGCTACGCTCTCTATCATTTAATTTATAAGATATTATAGAAAAGGCAAAACTACAGAGACAAAAATCATATTGATGGTTGCCAAGGGCTAGAGGCGGGAGGAGGACTGACTGCAAAGGAATGTGAGGGGCTTTGTGGGGGTGACAGAAGTATTCTACATCTTGAATGTGGTGGTAGTTACATAACTATACATTTTTCAAAATTCACTTAACTTTACACTTAAAAAGGGTGAATTTTATTAAATGAAAATTATACCTCAATAAATCTGACTTAATAATAAAATAAACCTAAAAAAACAACTAAGTGAAAATAAATGTATAAAAAATCAACTTACAGTTTTTCCAATTCAAGGGTCAACATGAGGATACTTTCAACTGTTGAAAGTGACACTTGTGTTGTTCCCATGTCTCTGAAGGAGAAAGCCCAAACGTGCATGACATAAACCCAAAGACAAAAATTCTATACTTGAAAATATACTTAACAATATGTGATTAGTTCCATTCTAGCTTCTCTGTCAAGCCAGCTCAAGAGATTACTTGCCATAGATGATAATTTCAGAGACCTCTTATTGAAAAAGTTTATTTGCATCATCAAATTAATGACCTTGGTGCTAAAGGGTACAGTTTGTTTGTTTGTTTGTTTTAACCATTATCCTACTTCTCATTCTCAGCTGCATCCACTTCCCGATTACTCTTTTTAAAAAATATATAACATACAGTTATTCCTCTTTGCTTTCTGGAATAACTGGTATTTCTACATGCATCTACATGTTCCATATCGGTATGTGTTCTTCAACACTGCCTCCTTCCTTTGCTGGCTGTCTCGCCCATGTACATTCTTTCTTAATCATTTTTTTTTGTGCCAATAACTCTTATTCAATAATCCAGTTAAAATTTAAATTATGAATTTTTAGCCAAAATGCAAAATACTTAATCTTTAACAAAAGTGAAAAAGAGCATAATTCATCTCATGAGCCATGAGATTGTTGCAATACTTACAAATATTTCAATGCCGGCAATTTAAAAAGATATGAATCTTCAACAGTTATCAGAGGATTACGATTGAGAATTCTGAAAAATGCAATAGAATTAAAGTTATCTGCATTTTAAATAACTGTTATGAAAGTTTATAGTCATCTTTTTTTGGTATGAAACTTGAGGGTAAAAAAAAAAATCATTTTCTGTCTTTACCTATAAATCACCCTTAGAATCCGTAAAGCACTCTTCCTTTGGGAGCTACCCAGGTCTCTAGACGATAAAGTAGAAAAGAAAAAAAGAAAAGAAATAGAAAAAAAGTGGATAGCAAAGAAAAAAATATGCTGAAGAACTTTTCAGATTGAAAACCCTAAAAGTGACTAAGCTGATAGGAAGCTTCTGCTTTATAGGAAATAATATTTCGAGTGTCCTCCATAATTTAAGGTGCTTTTCTTTCACCTCTAGAAAATTTAAAAATTTCATAGTTTTGAACCACCCTATTAAAGAGAAAAAGAGGACCAATTCCTTGCCTTTGGAGCCACAGAAGCGATAAATCTAAGAGGAACTGGTGAAAGCCATACTCCCATGACATACTCCCATGTGTATTCCTGTTTCACAGCCTTCGTGACATTGTATGTAATCACCTGTTTATTTCTCAGTTTCTTAAACTGTCAGCTCCTCAAGGGCATTCACAGCCTTCGTGACGTTGTATGTAATCACCTGTTTACTTCTCAGTTTCTTAAACTGTCAGCTCCTCAAGGGCAGGGATAACACTTCATTGTCATTGCTGTCCCTGTGCCTGACATAGTGCCGGACATACATTTACCAGGTATTTAATAAATGTTTATTTAATAGATAAATAACATTTGTTTACATAGCAATCAAATGAACCAATTTGTTTTTCTGACACAAATTTTTATTCCAAATGCTGGAATTGATTTTTTTTCTCAATTCTTTAAAAAAGCAAAACAAAACCAAAAAGAAACAGAAAGAAAGAAAAGAAAATCTGCCTTCACTCAAGAATCATTAGTGTACTTTTGCAGAATATTATGAAGATAACTATCATAGTTAATATCTGTTGGGCTGCCAGGCATCTGTGATCAGCATTTCACATTTAATCCTTACAATAATCTTATGTGTTAGATATTATTATTACCCCATTTTACAAATGAGGAAACTGAGGCACAGAGAGGTTACATAACTTGTCCTAGGTTCTCAAGCTAGTAAGAAGCACAGCTGGAATTTAAACTCAGTTCTGACTCCAAAGCTTGTATTGAATCGAAGAAAAGGGGTTTAAAATGACTGTTACTTTAATCTTAATTTTAAGACCACCAAATATAGGAAATACCTTTTCAAATTTCATCTGGGAGAGCCTCTATGAGAATTATATTTTCTTTTCATTCCTTTCCCTTAATCATCTCTCATGATTAAATATTTAATTAGCCTCCAGTCAATGAGACTTTAGAGATTTAAAACCAGGTTGTAGGCAAATCAGTAAAAATGGGGAAGTAAGAACATCTGAAAATTCATCCCCCAAAAAACAAAATAAATACAACTGGCAAAAATTGTCAGAATCAACTTTTTTAAACTCTGGAATTTAACCAATAGGCTTGCAGCAATCCAGGGAACACTTATTCAAGAAAAACGATTAATTTCTGTAAGAACAGTGATCCATGTTGCTTTAACTTATCCTAGACCTTTGGCTTTCCACCCCAGTAGAAATCTTGAAAAAATAGCCCACATCCCTTGTACTGGCAGAAGCAGAATGGAGCTAGAGTTCCTTCAAAAGCTCATTCCCAAAGAATTGTCATTTTACTTGTCCAGTGGTTCCTTGAATATCTTACTTGAAAGGCTTGCCTTTGATCTGAGAGCTGCCTAGTGCTAAAAGCCTCTCCTTAGGGGGCATTTTTTGAAAACAAATACAGGTAAATGTTTTAATCAGGGCAGGCGCTGAGGCAATGGGTTAACAGTTGGAGCAAAACACAGCCTAATCAAAAAACTTAAAAGGAAAAGCTGAGATGTCCATAGGCTTTGAAATGCTCCAACATAAGTCTGGGAAACTGGAAGACCATGAGATATACTCCTGGGAATCTAGAAAAAAAAATCAATTAGCACTAATAAATGAGTTAGGCAAGGTTGCAGGACATAAGTAAGAGTAATATGTAAAAATTAGCTGTATTTCTACACACTAGCAATCCAAAAAAATGAAATTAAGAAAACGATTCCATGTATAACAGCATCAAAAAAATAAAAAGAAAAAAAGAAAAATACTTAGGAGAAAATTTAACCAAAGTACATAACTCATACACTGAAAACTATAAAACGTTGTTGAAAGAAATTATAGAAGTTCTAAATAAATGGAAAGACATGTTGTGTTCATGGATCAGAAGACAATACTGTTAAAATGGTCCCACTCCCCAAATTGATCTATGATTTCAATGCAATCCCTATCAAAATTCCAACTGACTTCTTTCCAGAAACTGATAAGCTAATTCTAAAATCATATGGCAATTCAAGAGACCCAGAATAGCCAAAACAATCTTGATAAAGATGAACAACATTGGGGGACTCACATGTCCTAGTTTCAAAATCCAAATTAAAGCTCTAACAATCGGAGTATGGTGCTGGCAGAGGGACAGACACATAAATCAATGGAACAGTATTGACAGTCCAGAAATAAACCCTCACATATACTGTCTATTGATTTTCAACAAGGGTGCCAAAACAATTTCACGTGGAATGAGTAGTATTTTCAATGCTGCTGAGACAACTGTATGTCCACATGCAAAATAATGAAGTTGGCCTCCTCCACTTCATGCCACATATAAAAATTAACTCAAAATTAATTAAATATCTAAATGTAAGGTAAAAGCTAAAACTATAAAACCCTTAGAAGAAAACAAGGGGTAAACTTTTATGACCTTGTATTAGGTGACAGTTACTTATTTATGATACGAAAAGCACAAACCACCAAAAGAAAAGTAGATAAATTGGACTTTACAGTGGGGAAGTAAGGACATCTGAAAATTCATCCCCATTACAAAAATGAAAACTTTCATGCTTCAAAGGACATTATCAAGAAAGTGAAAAGACAACTCATAGAATGGGAGAAAATATTTGCATATCATGTATTCGATAAAAGCCTATATCCAGAACTCTTACAACTCAATAAAACAATAAGTAACCAAATTTTAAAATGGGCAAAGGATTTGTAGAGACATTTTTCCAAAGAAGATATACAAATGACCAATAAGTACATGAAAAGATGCTCAATGTCTTAAGTCATTAGGGATATACAAATCAACGCCACAACACTTTACACTCACTAAGATGGCTGTAATCAAACAGACAGACAATAACAAATGTTGGCAAGGATATGGAGAAATTGGAATCCTCATACATTGTTGATGGGAATGCAAAATGGTATAGCCACTGTGGAAAAACAATTTGGCAGTTCCTCAAAAAAGTTAAACAGAGTTACTATATGACCAAGCGCTTCCACTCCTAGGTATGCACCCAAGAGAATTAAAAACATATGTTTATACAAACACTTGTACGTGAATGTTCATAGTAGCATTATTCAAAATAGCCAAAAAGTGGAAACCACCCAAATGTCCATTAACTGATGAATGGAGAAACAAAACATTGTATATCTATACAATGGCATATTATTCAGTCTTAAAAGGGAATGAAGTATTGATACATGCCACGACATGGATGAACCTTGAAAATAACATACTATGTGAAAGAAGCCAGACACACGAAGGCCACATATTGCATGTTCCATTTATATGAATAAGTAAATTCATAGAGACAGAAAGTAAATTAGTAGTTTCCAGGGCCTGAGAGGAGGGGGAGATGGAGACTGACAGCTACCAGGGACAGTATTTCTTTCAGGGGGTGATGGAAACAGCCTGGAATTAGAAAGTGGTGGTTACTGAATACACTAAAAACCAAGGAATCATATACTTTATAATGCATTTTATGTTATGTGTGTGGATTGTATCACAATTTTTTTTAGAAAAAGAACCATATTGTCATATGTAGAGTACCAGCTGCCAGAAGATCAAACATTTTGGTGGATGGAGAAAAGAGGAGTGAAGACTCAGACTCCCCCATGACCAAGGCTGGAGGAAGTCAGTGGCGAGGCTGGGAGCCACGCAGTTTGTTCTTAACTCGGAACTCTCCTATTCTTCTTATTCTAGCCCATTTATCTAGATTATTTTAGTACCATGAACCTGTTTGATTTGTAACACTAGTTAATATTCAGTAAGATAATGTTATGAAGAAAAAGTGTGAGTGTCGCATGTCTGATTAAGCACAGTTCCTCAAACTTTGAGGCTTTGAATATTATTTGCTTTGAAATAAAATTTTTTGGCATTAAAACCTGTAAGATCACCCGTGGGCTCTCCTCCACCTTTGCATGTTCCCCCATCCACTTTCCCCGCAAGTCATTAAGAATGACTATAAAGCAATATGTAGCTAAAACAATTTAGCAAAGTTCGTCATCCTTCCTCCAAAATTATCTCAGTTCTCCAATCCTACACTCTTCGGTAATAGCTCGCCCATGGCCTTGTCCGCATCAGCTCAGCATTTCCTCTTAACCAGGCAGCCCTTCTTCAACTGAGATTCATATCCTTGCGTTTATCTCTAGTGCAATCGAAATATGGGGCCACTCTAAATTATCCTATTTCCTCTTCCTGTCTTTAGTACAGTCTTCTTTACTAAGGTTGTACCTGGGCAAAGGAGAGAATGAATGAGAACTGATTCAACAGCTCAAATTTGGGGGGACTCTATAGCAACTGTTTTTTCCATAAACCACAATACAAATGGTTTTAGATTCACAGTGGACATTGCACTAGAGATAATTTACATTTCAGTTCAATTCCCTCATTTTATAGATAAAAGATGTGCTGACTCATATAAAGTTCATTGCCTTTTTTATACTCATGGGTTTATCTTAATGGAAATAAAATGTGGCAGCAGTTTTTATTAGCCTTAAAGACTGTTTAAAACAGAGTCAATGTTTAAGAAATATGGTTCTAATTTTTTAAAATATACCTTGTTTGAAGAGGAAAACTCAACTATTTTTCCATAAGCCTTTTGCTGTAGAACAATGAAACAGATTATAGGTAGCTCAGAAAATAAGGGAACATTTCTTACCTGTTATTTTTTTTTCTCCAAATTCTTCTATACAGGTCCAGACAGATGGGCTACGTTTCCTTTCTATTAACTGAGGAGACAGAGAAGAATTGAGGACTGAAGCATGTCATCACTGTCCTAAATGTACTGAAATCCTAACAGCTTTAGCTGGAAAAAATGTCCAAAACAGGCAGTAAAAATAAATTTAAAATAGGACAAACTGCAAAACTATCTATGCTAGAATCCCAAGGCAGGCTGACAAAACTAGTTCCTTAGAGGAAGGTAGTCAAAGAAATAAGCAGAGTGACCTAGACCCTGTTCCAATACGTTTGAAGTACTTGGGGATGGAGTAACCCCTTTCCTTTATTCACCTACATAGGTCCATGAGCCATGAGAACGTGACTCCCCATGTGAAGCTCCTCAATACAAGAGCTCTAGCTGTATCACATAAATCCTTTGCAGAGGGCAAAGTCTAAAGAATCTGAAATGGTGAGCCTATATTTTAATCAAAGTTCTGAGAAAAGCCTTAAAGAAGAGTCCCTGGTATGAAGAACAGGGAAGAAGCAAGAGCCCTAGAATCAGGCAGACCTGAGTTTGTATTGGCTGTCACTTCCTGGTGAAGTGACTTGAGTAATGAACATCTCCGAGCCTTAGTACCATGAACCTCATAAGGCAGTTTCAGGATTAAATGAAGGAACATGTGCAAAGCAGCTAGCATAAGGTTGGGCACAGAGTAGGTGCTCAGCAGTAATGATGTCCTATCTGCACTGGGCAGTGAACAGAAACCCTGGGGATGCCCAGAAGCGGCGTGGCCAGGAGCTTCGGAAGCATGGATTTCTCATAGGGAAAAGGAGTTCTCTGCTCTAAACGTCCTACTCAAGTTAGAAACAAACTTCAAAATACAAAGCACAAAAGCTGAATTGTCATTATTCAGCTATTACAAGAGAATGCAGAGTTGCATAGGAAATTACTTGCAAAGCTCATAAGTGGTTCTGCCACTTATTAACAGTGTAAACCTAGGCAAGTTGTCCAATGTCTCTGAGTTTCAATTTCCTCATCCCCCCAAATGGGGATAATAATATCTACATCACAAGAGTTGTTGGGAAAATGAAAATGAGATGTGAGGTAATATGTATTGAGCATTTAAAATGAGCCAAGCACTGTTCTAAGAGATTTTGGCATGCTATCTTACTTGTATAATAAGTAAAAGAACTAAGTATACTGCCTGGAACGTGATAAGTACCTAATAAATGTAGGTATCAAAGAAATACTATGCTTCCAAGAGAAGGAAGGTATCTTATTATACAGATGGAAAGTACTAAGATGTAGTTGGGAGAAGAAAAGTACAGTAGTTGCCGGGTGTGGCAATCTCAAAACTTATGAACTATTTCAAATAAAATCACCCCAAAGGACAGATCCCAGTTGTTATTTTTATCTTTCATGTTTATGCCTTTCTGAATCTGAGAAGAAGCTGCCAGGATTCCAGTACATACCAAAAAGTGATGACAATATCCTGAAGTGTGTAAACTTTAGTTATGTTCACAGATATCTAAAAGAAATCAATGCTAGTTGATTAAGGGAGCATCAGGGTGTCTCTGTGACCGAAGCAGAGATGCCTTCACAGTGGCCACACCTACCTCAGTGATATTCTCAACAGTGGGGTAAATAATTCACTAGAGATGAGGCTTGGATTTCCCTCTTATTTTTCTCTTAGTGTTCTTGGCACAGTATGGATGTACCAACAGACAAGCCAGCATGTGAATATGCTCTGTCTGGATAAGGTATAGCCTTTCTACATTGTAGAGTCCTTCAGTTTCTAAAATCATGGAGCTTGTATTGTTAGAGTCAATGAAGTGACTAGAAGAATTTTTAAAAATAAGCCATCAGTCTGGACCTGTGTAGGTGAATGAAGGAGAAGCACCTTAAAGTCAGGAAAAAAAAGTATACTTAACATTTAGGATTATCAACCACTGCTGGTTTTCCATAATATATTTCATTCCTAATTTCATCTGAAAGGTATATGATTATTACTACCATTCAAAAAGTGGTACTTTATTAATAAGCTCTTGGCATGTCTTTGAGGTGGATTTCAGACTCAAAACAGACTCTTTACCACAATGCCAACTTGTTCACTCGGTATTGGTCAATAATATAGAAACATCATTCAAGAAACTTACTGAATTATAATTAGCTGAAACTCAGGAGTGAATCAAGGTTTTGTGGAGCCTGAACCTCATCTATTTTTGGAAACCCTAATAAAAACATGCAAAATTATGAATATAAAAAATGCTAGGTTCCCTTCCAAGGTCTTGAAACAGCCCTATGTAAGTGAAGAGCCCTGAAGCTTAAGCTTCATTCAATTCTTAAAAAATCCACCTCAAACTTCTTACAAACTTAATGCAGGGGAAAACATCGTTTTAACTTATAAACACTCCAGTAACATATCATATAGATGATAAAATGACTTAACTCCCAGGGTGGCATCTCCCCTTGGCAACTTGCCTTTGGAAAGAGATGCAATAAAGTTTATATATCACTATGGCAAATGTTTCCTGAAGCAAATTAGCTTTGTCTGTTAAAAATATTTGGCTCAAAACAAAGAAGGAGCTCAGCTACCAACACATACTTACTGTATTGTGACAATCTTTTGTAAGTAACTGTGAATTAGTTTTAGGAGCATGGCTCTATTCAAATCACATGATGTGAATATTAATTTATTTCTAATACCATCTAGCTCTGATTCTTTCATTACCTTTTCCTGTCATTTAAAATGAACCCAGAACTCAAGATAAACAAGTTGGTACCTCCTCCATTATGAATCTTTTCTAATCTACCACCAATTCCCCACTGTTACCCGCCATCATGATACCCTGCTGTATCTTGTTACTCTGCTCTTGTATGTTTTCCCACCAACATCCATCTTCATTCTTCCAGTACGAAAGTTTCTTGCGGACAAAGTCCTTGTCCTATTCTTCTTTGTACCCCCAGCACTTAGTATAGTGCTGGCACACAGTGGGCATGGCACTCAATGAACGTTTGTGAATGAATTCATTAATTTTTCAACTGTGATTCCACAATTCCCGCCTCCTCCACCATGTTGCCTTCATAACTATAGTGAAACTTGGATTCTTATAAGAGACTTTCAGTGTTATAAAATGTTTAATAAAGGTTGTGAGTTTAAGACATTGTTTTAACACTACTAAATAAAACCTCTTGGTGGAGGGATCTACTGAGCCTGCTCTCTAGTGCGCTGGCCAAAGGAAAACTAACCCTCAGTATTCTTTCCCCAAGTTAGGCATCAGCAAATTAATGTGGGAAGAGGGGAGGCCACTACAGATGGGCATCTGCAGGAAGTGTTAATCTAAACACCCTAAATACTTTCATCTGAAATGAAATGTGTAAAATTGGATTTCTGAACCACAAGACAGGTAAGGCAGTCTTCCAAAGATAGGTTTAGAGGATGATCTTCGCCTTGAGTCTAAAATTCGTTTTAGACCATTGAACATACCCAACTATTATTTGCTTGAGTCACAGAGAAATCACAGAATTTTTGAGCAGAAAGAGAATAAAACCCACACTTCTTATTGAGTAGGAGTCAGGAAAGAAGTTGGAATTAGGCAACAGCAATGTATTTCTTTATGAATATTTTTTCATACTATAGTTTAACATAAACATCTTTTTCCATAACTCAAAGGTTCTCATTGCCCACAGATAACTCACTTCTGAGGCATATATTTTTTGAAAAATAATGTTCTGGGTGACTGGGGAGAGAAGTGCCCTGTGGCAGGTTTTTAGGAATTCTTTCTGCTTTACCACTTAAAAGAGACTCAAGGTTGAGGAACCACCCACACCTTTTGCTCCCTGGAGAACTCTGTGCTAAACTGAGTTCTTTCAGTTCTCTGTGGCTCACATTTAAGCAGTTAGGAACACTGCACACAAGCAGGAATCGAAGTTAAATTCAAAAGTGGAATTTCAAGGACCATACACATATTGGAGCAGCACCATTGGGATTCCCACGACAATGCTACTTTGACCGTTATTTGCTTGGTGCCTTTTATTGCCCATGCCAAAGATCAGTACTGGGGGAAGCAGAGTAGGTCATATGGGTTAGACAAGTCTCTTAGCCAATTTGTACCTTAGTTTCCTCATTTGAAAAAAAATGAATGGATCTTAGAACATATTTTTCAGAGTTCATACTAGGCTTATACCCAGCTAACCAATCACTGTATGATGTTCTCACACACAGACACACATATATATTTACATGTATTCATTTTCTATTTCACTTACAACTTGTGTAAAAACTGCATTCCATGCCAGGCCTGAAATGTTCCAAAGCTCAGTTCTGTGAGTAAATTACACCCAAGATTTCTACAAAAAAAGACACAGCAAAAGAAGAAGATAAAAGGATATTTTTAGAATATTTATCCTTTGGTAGTGATTCTAATTTATATATGATGAAACAACTTCAATACCCCCTCTATACATTAAGAAATATCACTGTGGAAGATATTTGCTTATGATTTATACTTTCACTTTTATACATGTGGTATATTAGATACAAAACAGTTAAGTGCTCGAAAAAATGGCATAGATGATAGAGGCTCTGTTCATCCCTCTGGCGACCAAATCAAAGTTGTGACAGAAACAGGGAGCGGCAGCCAGGAAAAACTGCCTGGGATCTAGATGAACAAGCCATACAACTAGGGAGAAATTCAAGAAATCACCCTGCAATGGCAGAAGGTAGGACGGGGCAAGGACACGAGGGTGCCCAGTCTCCAGCGGCTGAGTGAGATGGAGGCTGCGACAGTGGCTGAAGCCTTTTAAAGAGGCCGTGTCCGCTAGCGGATTTTCATCCACAAGCATATTTTCACGGTGACAGACCTGCTCGCTCTGAGCACCAGTGCCGATTCGGCTGTGCGCAGGGGGCACCAGGGACATACAGGGAGACCTTGTCGGAGTGAGGGCTGGAAGTGAGACTCGCTCCATACAGAAGTGCCAGCGCTATCCATTGTTCCCTGTTGAGCCCTCCCCAGTCCCCGTGAGGGTACACTGCAATGTCATAGCCGAGATGTCATCAAACTAGATGACAGAGGTCGATCTGCCCAGAGGATTCCATGAAACCCCGCCTACCCCAACTCGTGGCTCTACCCAAGCCACATCTGGGTATATCCCCAGCGAGTCAAGGGCGCCTTGCTGAGCAGCGCCTAGACTCACACTGGAGCCAGCTGGCCTCGGTTTCTGGTGTGGCCTTTTGAGACAACTATAAGCACAGCATCTGTGGATTGCTTGCTGAATCTTAATGGGTGGCCCCGGAGGGGCAGAGACTTGGGCTAAATTTGGCCTGCAGCTGAACCCCTCTCAGGACTGTGCCACTGGACACCTACTACACAAAGCCACACTAATAAGACCAGGAGACTTAGGAGCTTTGCTTAGTACATAGAAACAGATATGAAAAGGCAGCCAAAATGCGAAGAAAAAGAAGCAGAAACCATATGAGAGAACGGAACAGAGATCCAGATATAATGGAGTCAAGTAATCTAACAGATACAGAGTTCAAAACACTGGTTATAAAGATGCTCAATGATCTTTTGGGAAGTGTAGAGAACTCCAACAAAGAAATAAAAAACATAAAAATGGAAATGGAAATTATAAAAGGGAACCAGTCTGAAATGGAGACTACATTATCTGAGATGAGAATTATATTAAATGGAATAAACACAGGAATAAACAAAGTGAATAAAGAAAAGGATCAAATACATTATCTAAATGACAGGAAAGCCAAAGACACTCAATCAGAATGGCAAGAAAAAGGATGCCAAGACTATAAAAATAATTTAAGGAGGATATGGGACACTATCAAGGGTCCAAATATCTGTGTGATCAATGTAACTGAAGAAAATCAAGATGTTGAACTGTTATTTGAAGAAATAATGATGGAAAACTTCCCTAACCTAGTGAAGGAAATGGACATAAAACCCCAGGAAGCTAAGAGAATTCCAGAAATCAGGGCCCACACCAAGATACATCATAATTAAAATCCCAAAGATTAAATACAAAGAAAGAATATTAAAAGAAGCAAGAGAAAAACAAATAATTATTTATAAGGAAACATCCATAAGACCGGCAGCTGATTTCTCAAAAGAAATTATGCAAGACAGAAGGGAAGGGCTTGGCAAAAAATATTCGACAGGATGAAGACTCAGGATCTACAACCAAGAATAATTTATTCAGCAAAGCTATCATTTAGAGTTGAAGGACAGATAAAGAGCTTCCCAGACAAAAATAAAAGGATAAGAAACCAAGACTCTTACATATGAAAAGGAAGAGATGGAAAAAGAAACTGCTTTGATGGACCTAGAAAGTATTTAAGTCAGACAGAGAAAGATAAACACTATATGATTTCACTTATATGTAGAATCTAAGGAATAAAAAGAACAAACTAATCAAAAACAGACGCACAAATATAGTGGACAATTTGCTGTTAGACAGAGGTGAGGGGGGTTTGGGAGCTACGAGAATGGGGCGAAAGGTTAAAAGAAGTACAAATTAGTAGCTGATTGATGGTCACTGGGATGGGGAGCATGGCATAGGGAATGCAGTTAGCATTAATATGTTGGCTAGGTGGAGGGTCAGGGAAGGGAGGGAGCAATTGGGGGGATCATTTTATCAACTATATATATGTCTAACCAATGTACTGTGTACTTGAAACTAATTAAAATAAACAAATTTAAAAAAACAGTTAAGTGCTCAGTAAATACTTGTATTAAGTGATCTTTATTTCTCTAGAACAGGTTTACACAACTTGAGCACTATTGACATTATAGGCTGGATAATTCTTTGTTATGGGGGATTGTCCTGTGCATTGTAGGATGTTGAGCAGCAACTCCAGCCTCTGCCCTCTAGGTGCCAGTAGAATATCTATAGTTCTGACGACCAAAAAGGTTTTCAGATTTTGCCAAATGTCACCTGGGTGCAAAACCACCCTGATTGAGAACCACTAACTGCTGCAGAATGATTCATTCTGATCTGTGAGATAATTCTCACTCTAATCTTTGCTAGAGACATAAAGGATTTGCTACATAATTTTAGTAGCTTTCTACTAATAAAATTTAAATATTTCAAAATGAATAACAAAAAGGTTTATAATTAACTTTTATAAAAGCTCCAAACATAATGAAGGTATATTTATAACTTACATAAACTGCAAAAAAGGTAATGGTTCAAATGTACGTCTTTCAATAGATTGTATTTTATTGCAGGATAAATCTCTAGAAAAGTAAAAGAAAAATATTACCTCAATTAGTTATTAGATATCTAATTAGTAGGAATAACTAGTAGAGGTTAGAATGATATTATTGAATAAATAGCTTTTGCCTAAACTCTAAACCTTAGGAATTGTTATTTAAATCTTCCAGAGCCCCTAAACCTCCTCTTACCTCTCTCAAGAGTTTCACCTTCATGATTTTCATAAATAAAATATACAACTATATAATTCTGATAGATTTTGAAGGTAATCTTTCCTGAGAGCAGAACTGATCAGATGACCTTTTATGGTCTCATCAAATTCTAGATTATAAGATCAAATTTTTTCTGTATATAATTATTGCTAAATAAATAGAACTGCTATGCAAGCATTTCCAACTTGACAATGAGGCCGGAGAGATTTTTGTTTTGTAATTTGTGAAGTTGGGACATTTCTGATATGCTTATTTAGTGTAAACATTTCTAAGTATACCGCTTAACCATTATTTTAAACAACTGTTTTTAATATCGGTATAAGAATTTCTGCATTGAAATCCTTAACAGCAGTCTGTTCTCTTGGTAACTTAATATGTTTTTAATAACATTGTTCACATAATTCATCTGCTTAAACATTTAATATTTAAATGTTAATCGAATTCAAATTATATTATCAAAAAATTCTGGGTTAATAGCATTCTTATTAATGTAAGTGTTCTGTATTTTCTTGCTCTGTAGGTGACAATGTGAGGTTAACTTGAATTCCTCTCATTTTGCTAAATCTACTTTTTAAAACCTTTTCTATAAAGGCTGGACAGTAAATATTTTAGGCTTTGCAGGCCTCATACAGTCGTTGTCGCATATTGTTCTTCGTTTGTTTCTTTTCTTTTTTCTTTTACAGACATTTAATAATGTAAAAGTCATTCCTAACTTAGTGGCTGTATAAAAACAGACCACAGACTGGATTTGATCCATGGGCCATAAACTAAATCTAAGCAGATGTTATATGAACACTTATAAACAAGGTTCATATCAGTGTCTATAATTATTCAGACCCCATTACCACTTCTCTTCCATGATCGAAGGGTTTTTCCTATCTATATCTTGTCTATACAATTAAAAAATTGAAAATGCATAGGAAATATTTAATGCTGGAGATAGGCTGAAGCCCTATATAGACTTACAGAATTGTAGAATTTTATTGCTGGAAGAAACTATAGAGGTTATCTAATTTGAATCCTTTATTTTATAGATAATATTACTAAAAACTCATAAATAAATATAATTAACTAACTTACAAATACTGGAGGGATAGTAGGCCTTCAAATGAATCCTTATGTAATTCACTCAAATGATTTTCACTGAGAATTCTGAAAAATGAAAAGGTTATTTCTGGATCAAAATGCAAAATAACTACAACTATTTACTACACAGAACTGTATGTGAGGGAAACCTGGGCAATGGTGCCACTGAAATATCCTAATTTTTATTTAATTTAGGGAAGGTGATCTATGCTGTTTTTATTCAAACCTTTCCTCTCATGTCCTTGTGTCTATTTCTCTTCATCACACACACATACCCTTCTTATCCCTACTTCCCACCAAATCGTATATTTAATGCCTCCTCTCTAGATCACAAAGTCTCTGATTGGTACTAACACTGGCAGAATTGCCATCTCCTCTTCTCTTTTCCCAAAACTTATTAGGAAAACCCATACATAACTCTATCAGGGCTGCAAGTAAAGTCATTCAATTTTTCCCCCCATTAAAAATTGTTTTTGAAAACTAAAATGTACATAAAACACACACGACATAAATGTTTAGTTTAATAATTGTTAGGCAGACACTCATATAACACCATTCATGTCAGAACACTGCCATTGTCCCAGAAGCCGCCAGGGCTCTGAGTCCCTTTCCAATCATAAGCTTTTCTCTGACTCCCGAGAGGTAATCACTATTCTGATTTTAATAATAATTCCCTTGCTTTTAAATGTAGTTTTACCTGTTATATGATAGCCATAAACAATAGTTTATTTCTGCCTTTTCTTGAAATTTATATAAATGGAATCATATTGTATATGTGTTATTTTCTATGTTGCTTCTTTCATTAAACATTATTTTATAAATTCATTAGATTGTTGCATGGAGCTGAGTTTGGTTCATTTCAATGCCTAGTGTTGCATGTCCAGCTACATGTGGCTACTGAGTACTTGAAAGAGACTCGTGCAACTGAGGAGCAAATAAGTTAAATTTTTAACTTAATTAATTTTAATTATCATAAAATTTAAATTTAAAAACTGGTACTCAATGTAATTATTAGAAAATGTTTAAATATGTTAGCAATAACTTGGATGTGTGATAATACTTTTTCAACTGTAAATTTTATAAAATCTAAATACAGATCAAGGATTTCTGATAAAAATTTAGCAATCAAATTGAGGTTTCAAAGACTTAGTAGGGAAAAAAAGAATGTAAATGCTCTTGTTAACAGATCTTATACTGATTACGTGTAGAAATGACAATACTTTAGATATTTTGGAGACAATATAAAAAAATGTAGAATATCTTAATGATGTATATAATGACTATATGTCGAAACAATAACATTTTGGATATAAGGGTTAAATAAAATATATTAACACTTATTTCACTGTTTGTTTTTACTTTTAAGTGGCTACCAGAAAATTTAAGATTACTTATGTGGCTCACATTGTTCCTAACGAATAATATTCTACTGTACGACTATACCACACTTTACTCATTCTACCATTGGTGGATACTAATATTTTTTCTAGTTTTTAGTTGTTACAAACAAGGCTGCTTTGAACATTCTTGTATCCTGATATACATTTGTCTGAGTTTCTCTAGGATATAATAGGGGTACAAAATTGTTTTCCTAAGAGGTTATGCTATTTCAAGTTGGCAGATTGAAACATGCCAGGTCTCTACCTTTCCAATCTCTACCAAAAGCCCTAAGAATAATAGAAAAGATATATTTTAAAAATCACATCCTTAGCAACAAACATGGGAACAGCTCCACAAATGCTCCCCCTACCAGAAATGCCCTGGAGCCACCTATAGGGTGAGCAGCCGGCACACTGCAGTGGGAGTGGCCAGCAGCACTTCAACCCCACACCTTTCCTTCTTGAGACCAGGCAGCAAAGGGTGTCTTCCTTCAGATAGAAGCAACTGGTATTAGAAAGTGGGCAGGGTATGCACTCCCTGACTAGCCACCAGAAGGCACCTCCACCTCTTCCTTATTCTCAGGGGAACCCATTGGGAATAACAAGCCATAGCAGATCATTTCACTTCTCCCCTAGAGCTGAAAAACAGAAGCAGTAGGATCTCAGTTACAAAGATAAACTGCTCTCGGGAATGACCAAATAACGTGAGAAAGCCAATTCCATTAAGGACAGAAAACAAAAACAAACACAAGAGCTTATAGCCAATGAATAGAGTTAATGGAAAAAGCACAAGAGGACTTCAGAATAGCACAATTAATATCCTCAGACAGATGTAAGCAGATGGTACATCCACTGAAAAGAATCAATTCAAGATTATCCAAATAAGTGTTATCATTAATAATAATAATAAAAAAACTCAGTAGATGAACAGCAGAAATGACAGTTGAAGAATAAATTATTAGAAAACTGAGAGATCCAGCCAAGATCCACAGACTAGCCTGACACTTGGGTCTGCCCAAAGAATATTAACGCCTTTGCTTTACCTAGTCTTGCAGTAAGACTAGGAACATACTTGGGTCAGGGGTGGGGGTGGGGAGAGTTTGCACCCATTTCTTATACCTGATGAGCAGGAAGGCACAAAGCCAGTGTCTCCAAGAGCGGAGTGAGGGAGTGGTTGAGAGCCAGTACAGAAGAAACTCTATAAGATGTCAAAGGTAAGTGTCTCTTGCTGTGAGAATCCCCATCCTTGCAGGTAATATTAAGTTGTACATCCTTCAGGAGACTTGGGGATCTGAGAACATGCTATGTTGCCTTGTGAAACTATTTCCATCAAGTTCTGCATTTAAAGCATTCTCCTTTCCCTCACAGTGTCTGTTGGCCACATATTTATATTAACTCCATCTCATAGCTTAATTCTTTACTCATAGCTTTTGACAAAATATTACTGCCTGGAAACTCTGAAACTGAAATCAAGGAGAGTTTTCAGTTATAAAGTGGTTCATATTATATAGAATATAGTTACACATATTTTAAAAAGACCATTAAAATAAAAACACAAAAACTTTAATTCCTACAAAGGACTCTTGGAATCTTGAGAATGCTTCAAAGACCCTGACCTCTATTTGAAATTCACCATGTTAAAAGATCAGCAGTGATGGTCAGAATATGTGTGAAGGCAGAATGGTCAACAGTGATGCTATGGTTGATTGTTTTCTCATTTCTGTTAGGTAATGGTTTCATATTTCCATGGAAATGATCCAAAAAGAAAAAAACAAACCAATATGTCCAATGATGTTTATAGTAATCCTTTTCATAACTACGAAAAGTTGGAAAAAACTCTGCTTCCCCATATCACCTAACAAAACTGTATGTGCATAATGTGTAGATGATATGCAGCAAGGACATAGGAAATAATGGCATATGAAAAAATTCAAGACAAAAATGAAAGTTGCATATACTAATTATAGTTTTAAAAAATATATAAAACTGACAAAGACAATAAGGACAGAGAAGAGATGGGGGATGATGCTCAGCTGTTTATGACAGTGCCTTCTCTGATTAGCTGATGCCCACATCAGGCTGTTTGGTCAGAGTTTGAATATCATGATTAAGACAGGGAGTAACTAATGAGCATGTGTGTATTTTAAATTAGTGGGGTTTCTTTTTGTGAAGTCGTTTGGATGACAGGATAGTAAAAAAAAATTTAAATAACAATAACAAATTCAACCTAGAAGGAAAGTTTAAACTAAAAATGAATCAGTAACCAAAAAATTACCCAAAAAAGGAGCTTCAAATAAGCAACTAATTGGTATAAAATACAATGATCTGTAGAACTCCAAATATTCATTTTGACTGAGGCAAAAATTTTGAAAGTATAGGGAATCAGATCTAAAATTTTGTCACACAATAAAAATATCAAAGCCAGGCATGAACATTTAAGAAATATCCACATTTAACTTCTGACCAGACCTTCTTTCACTAAGGCAATCTTCTAAATTTCATTATATTCACTCCTGATTCTATATTACTGAAAATTATTCTTCTCCCCACCTCTGTAACTTCTAAAAAACTGAGAGGGCTCTGGGTTTGTTTGTCTGTTTGTTTGTTTGTTTTAGGGGGAGGACTTAATTATATACATAATGCAAAAAATAGGCCATTCTAGAATTGATTCACTTTCCTTCCCCTGCTTTCTGTCTCTTCACAGCACTTACTAATCCTTGAAATTATAGCTAGCTATTTATTATAGTTAGCTATTTATTTTTATATTATATACTTGTAAACCCTTGAGAACTGGGGCATTTTGTTTGTTTTGCTCTTGAGCCTGTAACCCTGCATGTAAAACAGTTCCCGGCACAAAGCAGATGCTCCATAACTATTTGTTCAATGAATTCAGAAAGTGACAGGTATCAATTTTCAGATATTCTATTTTTATTTAAAACAAATCACTCATTTATTATCACTTGAGAATAAGTACAGCTTTACAGGAAAATAAATGTCTTTCTTCTTCCCCACATTGTGACTCTTAATTCTTTGAGATAAGAGCCCTTTGAGAATTTCATAAAAGCTATGGACCCTTTCCCTAGAAAACTACATTTTCTTCAATACATGCAAAAGTGTGCATGAAATTTCCATTTGTGGATTATCTCTTTAGGGCAGAGGTCTGTGAATAGGATTGAATTCAGGAGGCCAAACTTAGATGGGAAATAAAATTACATCTCTATTTTCACAAACTTCTAACTAAAATTAGCATTTTCTTCTGTTCTAAATGGAGGCAACAAATCTTAATAGATTAGCAGTATAGTAGTTAATTTGGTTACCAATAGAAATCACAGATATTTTCATACCACATATTTGTTGCAGATATCTCAAAATATTTATTCTCATCATTACTTGAAATTATAATAGTTATTAGGCTTACCATTATATCTTGTTACTTAATATGTTAAGAGATACAGATTTATTTATTACTATATCAATAATCTTTTAAAAACTATTTTGAAAACTGTATTTCAATATGTTTCCTTTGATTTCTTATACATTCTAACTTATTATACATTTAAAAACATAATCCCAAGAATGCAGGCTTCACAGATCACCAAAGAGACACATGGGGAAAAAAAGTTCAAGAAGTCCTGCCCAGGGGGACCACTGACTCCAAGTCAGGGACTTCTGCCTTACAAGGTATAAATCTCAAGCTGACTTAGAAATCTTCAAACCTTACCAGACTCACGTTACTGTGTATACACTCCCAAACACGTGCTTTAAAAAAATTACTGTTTAAATTTCAATTAAAAAATATGTACTATATATTACACAGCTCAAAATTCCAAGTAAAATACAATCCAAAGTTTTTTCTCCTACCCTTGACCCACCACCTCTATGCCCCAGAGGAAACTATTGTTATTTATTTTTGTGCCAAATAACATCATTTTTCTTACAAGTTTAGGAAATAAAGTCTCCAAGCAGATAGCATCATGGAAAATATAAATTATATATAGTTTTTTAAAAATTCATAAATTAAAAAAAATTGCCTGGTTCTAGCATTTTTTTTTCCATTACCAATAAGATATCAGACTAAAGAGGAGATCTATTTTAGGATGGTCATAATCCCTACTTTTAGATTACTATGACTATTGTCTTTATTATTAATTCAGATGTCATCAATGACTTGACTACTGAAGTTGAACTAATGATATGACATATAAACTGTCATGAAAAGTGCCAGTTAATTACTTTAAATTTTTTTTTCCCCAAATCACTATATGCCTAAACTGACTTTTTCTACAAATGAATATAAAAAGATAAACAACAGAAAAATGGGCAAAGGATAGGGCAAATTCAAAGAAGAGATACAAATGTTCAATAAACATATAAAGATATTTAAATTCACAAGTAATCAGAAAAATTCAAATTTAGATGGCATCTCTTTTATTCACCCATGAGATCAATCAAAAAATGGAGAATATCCAGTGATGGCAGGGCATAGGGAAATGAATGCTGTCACGGCCTACTGACCGGAGTGTGAGTTGGCACAACTTCTTTGAGGGCAATTAAAATTTTATATCTACATAGTCTTCATCTCAACAATTCCATTTCTAAACACCTGTCCTACAGAAATACCTGCCTGTGTTCACAAAGATGCATGCTTAAGAATGTTTGTTACGGCAATCCATGTAACAAGAAAACGACATAATCTAAACAGCCATGGATAAGGGAATTATTCAACTGTGATACATCCATACTACGGAATATTTACAGGAGTTTAAATTGGGGTAACTGTCTATGTACTGGGAAGGAGAGAAATTTAAGAAATATCAATAGTTGAAAGAATCAAGTTATAGGATGTTATCATTTATGTAAAAAAGAAATGAAAATCACACAACAAACCTATTTTGCTATCTGTAAATATGTATGCAGGCAAATACATGCAAAAAAGATTAGGAAGGATATATACTAGACTCAGAGTAGCAGTTACCCCAGGAGAGCAGGACTAGGGCACAAGGAGGGTTTTCACTATACCTGTTACCTCATTTTTATATATTGAGAATATAATCATGTATTATTTGTTATAATGGAAAATAAGTTTAAATTGACTCATATTTTAAATAAGGTCCTCCAAATTTAATTTTTAAAATAAACATAGAATTGCAATCCATAGAGGCTGATTTAGGATATGGATGGGGAAAGGCCTTTTCTCAGAGCGACCGACTTCAAAATCTTGGACCAAGAAGGATCTTACAATGCAGTTAGTTTTTTGAATTCATATTTGGAGAGAATATACTCACAGTTTCTCAGCCCAACGGTATGAGTTCCATATATTTTCATCAATGTAAGAAATAGAGTTTCCTTGGAAATTTCTGTGAAGAAACACAGTTCATATCCTTGAATAGGTAGGAAAAGAATGAACATCATAAGTAAAAGAATCATGGCAACCTTGCAGGGAATATTCAAATACAGAAAATACCAGCTTTCTAACTTCCACAGCTATCAGCTTCCCAATTTGCACAATTAATAAAGAAAGAATTGTGGGGCCACTGGCACAAACAATGAGGCATCTCCTCAGAACCTGAACTTCCTATCTGGGATAGGTAATGCCAGTTAATTACTTTGAATGTATTTTTTTCCAAAGTCACTTATGTGTCTAAAATGACTCCTTTGACACATCAGTGAGAAAATGATAAACAATTCAGCAGAAAATGGCAAAAAAAAAAATTATCATTATTAGCAGCAAATAAATATAAAGAATATAAATACCAAAGTTTTGGCTCAGTGCCCTCTATTGAAATCTCTCCATATGTCAGAAGGATAAGGGCAATTCAAAATGACAGGAACTAATATGGAAAGATCTCACAGATATATTGCATAGGGAAAAGCAGAAATTACTAAGCAAGGAGTAAAGTGCTACCTCATTATAGGAAAAAACGCCAAGGAGAGAGATTGGAAGGAAGGACACACACCAAAATGGTAACAGGAGTGATAGGAAGGATAGGGCAAATTCAAAGAAGAGATACAAATGTTCAATAAACATATAAAGATATTTAAATTCACAAGTAATCAGAAAAATTCAAATTTAGATGGCATCTCTTTTATTCACCCATGAGATCAATCAAAAAATGGAGAATATCCAGTGATGGCAGGGCATAGGGAAATGAATGCTGTCACGGCCTACTGACCGGAGTGTGAGTTGGCACAACTTCTTTGAGGGCAATTAAAATTTTATATCTACATAGTCTTCATCTCAACAATTCCATTTCTAAACACCTGTCCTACAGAAATACCTGCCTGTGTTCACAAAGATGCATGCTTAAGAATGTTTGTTACGGCAATCCATGTAACAAGAAAACGACATAATCTAAACATCCATGGATAAGGGAATTATTCAACTGTGATACATCCATACTACGGAATATTTACAGGAGTTTAAATTGGGGTAACTGTCTATGTACTGGGAAGGAGAGAAATTTAAGAAATATCAATAGTTGAAAGAATCAAGTTATAGGATGTTATCATTTATGTAAAAAAGAAATGAAAATCACACAACAAACCTATTTTGCTATCTGTAAATATGTATGCAGGCAAATACATGCAAAAAAGATTAGGAAGGATATATACTAGACTCAGAGTAGCAGTTACCCCAGGAGAGCAGGACTAGGGCACAAGGAGGGTTTTCACTATACCTGTTACCTCATTTTTATATATTGAGAATATAATCATGTATTATTTGTTATAATGGAAAATAAGTTTAAATTGACTCATATTTTAAATAAGGTCCTCCAAATTTAATTTTTAAAATAAACATAGAATTGCAATCCATAGAGGCTGATTTAGGATATGGATGGGGAAAGGCCTTTTCTCAGAGCGACCGACTTCAAAATCTTGGACCAAGAAGGATCTTACAATGCAGTTAGTTTTTTGAATTCATATTTGGAGAGATTATACTCACAGTTTCTCAGCCCAACGGTATGAGTTCCATATATTTTCATCAATGTAAGAAATAGAGTTTCCTTGGAAATTTCTGTGAAGAAACACAGTTCATATCCTTGAATAGGTAGGAAAAGAATGAACATCATAAGTAAAAGAATCATGGCAACCTTGCAGGGAATATTCAAATACAGAAAATACCAGCTTTCTAACTTCCACAGCTATCAGCTTCCCAATTTGCACAATTAATAAAGAAAGAATTGTGGGGCCACTGGCACAAACAATGAGGCATCTCCTCAGAACCTGAACTTCCTATCTGGGATAGGTAATGCCAGTTAATTACTTTGAATGTATTTTTTTCCAAAGTCACTTATGTGTCTAAAATGACTCCTTTGACACATCAGTGAGAAAATGATAAACAATTCAGCAGAAAATGGCAAAAAAAAAAATTATCATTATTAGCAAATAAATATAAAGAATATAAATACCAAAGTTTTGGCTCAGTGCCCTCTATTGAAATCTCTCCATATGTCAGAAGGATAAGGGCAATTCAAAATGACAGGAACTAATATGGAAAGATCTCACAGATATATTGCATAGGGAAAAGCACAAATTACTAAGCAAGGAGTAAAGTGCTACCTCATTATAGGAAAAAACGCCAAGGAGAGGGATTGGAAGGAAGGGCACACACCAAAATGGTAACAGGAGTGATAGGAAGAGTTAGGTGGGATTTTCGCGTTTTATCCTAATATAATACTTCTGTGATCTTTTTCCCAAAAAACACGGAGAATGTATCCATGAATAATATGTGTTTAAAAGAAGCTGTTAAATTCCTGAGATTTGCTTTCAACCACTAACTCTGTGGATGACTGCATCTTTACCAGTAGCTTTGTCCTCTTCCCTCAGCAATGACTTACTTATTCAGTTTTTCAGGAAGGTCAGAAAAAGTCAACCAGATACCTGTCTTGCCACTCTGGCTAGTGGGCATTTCCACTCAACCAGAAGCCTTCTGGCTGCTTTATGCTCACCAATAAAAGATGCCGAAAACTAAACTCACCTCCCTCAAACTGGCCCTCCTTCCCAACTGCTGTGTTTTCACCGGTTTACCACCATCATTCTCATCGCCTAGGACAGAGACTTTACAGGGTGGCATTTGATTTTTCTCTTTCCCGTATACCCTATCCCCCAACTCTTGTCAGTTACTAAATCCTGTCAGTGCTTCCTTCATAGTGTACTCAGGATCTTCTTCCTACTCCTATTACAACCACTCTAATTCAGTCCTTTTTCACTTTCCTTCTAGATTTTGCCAGAGCATTCTATTTGTTCTCCCCGAATCAAGTTTTCTTCTCTAGATCACTCTACATATGGAATCTACAATGATCCCCTTATTTTAATCATTTGTCTCTCCTGCTTGAAAACTTTCAGTAGCAGTCCTTATTTGACAGTGTAACTTTCAAACCCCTATAGCTGATAGCCAAGGTTTTTCATAATCATATCTTTCTTTGCTCCTTAACCCAATTCTTTACAGTCACACTGGTCTATTAAATCCTGATCATTCCTGCAGCCATGCCTTTGCCTAGACTGTTCTCACTATATTTTCTCTATTTAACAAGTCACAGCCACTCTTTAAGTACCAGCTAAAGTGCTAGCTAATCTTTGCGGCTTTCCCTGACGTCCACACCCCAGTGACTATAAATTCTGGTGAATTACAGCACCTATGGTCTGTATCTCTTTTAGTATTTAATTATATATCAGCTTCATTTTTATGCACATTCATTTTCTTCCCACCCATCATTGTTATGTTCTAGAGACAATGTCATACTTCTGTGGCTCCCATAGTTGGGCACATAATGGGTACTATATATAAAGCCAGGTTGCAAAGATGAGTTCTGGACGTAACCGAGGGATTGAATAATAATAATAGCTAACACAAATATACGTTAGGCACTTATCTAAATCTCACGATAATCCTATGAGATGATAACTATAGTAAATCCCAATTTTACAGATGAGGAAATTGAGTCACAAAGCTAATAAATGACGTACCTGGGTTCAAACCCAGTCAGTCTGGCTCTAGAATCTCTACGCTTAACCACTTTGTTGTTATCACCACCAGTGAGCTAAGGAGAATATGTTGCTGTAAGAGGATGGAGCAAAAGTGGAAGGAGAGTAGAGATTAAGGAATGAAATGATGGGGCTAAAAAATGGATAAGGAAAAATAAGGTCAATTACTAGTAAAAGGCTGGAGAAGGGGGAAACAATAGTAAGAATGAAGGTAAGGGATAGTTGACAAACAAAAGGTAAAAATAGAAAGTCAGTCAACATGGGTTAGGAAGATGAGGAAGGCTCAGGAAGACCTTGAGAGAAAAGGCTGCCGTGTCAGGCAGGATGCAGAGAACAAATAAGGAAAGCAATTCTTACAAGATGGTGAAGGTGCCGTTGTAGATGTTGGACTCTGGCACAGGCACTCTGCGGAGCCTCTGCTTTGGGCTTAGACCAATACACGACAGCGTCTCATCTTTGCACGCACAGAGCTTACATACGTCGATGTTTATGGTGGCATTCTGTTCAGTCGTTGGAAGAACTGTCTCAGATGACTCTGGTTGCTGAGTTATGGTAACTTTTGGGTTCACAGTTGCAAGTCCGACTTCAGTCACGTTTGGAAGCTGACTCTGAACCTGCTTTGTATGTGGAACTGTCACCTCAGGGTACTCTGGAGGAGCTGTAGTATTCGTCAGGGCTGTAGAATGTTTAGCCTCTGTGGTAGGTTCTGGAGTTATGGTAAGCTCCAGGTTCACGTGATGAACTGTAACAGTGGGTGACTTTAGATCTTGACCTTGATCCTTACTTGAAGTTGGAACAGTCACTTCTTGAGGAAATGGATATTGAACTGCACCCCCACTAGTTGTCCCTGGAGGCTGAACTGGGGTCTTTAGCATGGTTGGAGAAGTTTCAGCCTCCACATTAGATCCTGAAGTTACAGTAATATCCAGGTCCATAGGTTGAACTGTAAATTCAGTCAGGTTTGGATGCTGACTCTGAACATTCTCTGCATGTAGAAGTGTCACATCAGGCTGTTCTGGAGAGGGAGCTGTAGTCTGCTGTACAGTTGTAGAATGTTTAGCCTCTGTAGGTTCTGAAGTTATGGAAACCCCCAGGTCTAGGGGATAAACTGTGACTCTGGGTGATGTTGGAGGCTGAGCTTGACTCTGACCTGGAGCTGGAACTGTCACCTCCTGATACAATCGAGGTTGAACTACAACCTCATTAGGTGGCTCTGGAGGTTGAACTGGGGTTTCTTGAATGATTGGAGAAGGTTCAACCTCGATACTGGATTCTGGAGTTATGGTAAATTCCGTGTCCAAAGGTTGAGCTGTGAATTCAGCCAGGCTTGGATGCTGACTCTGAACCTGCTCTAGATGTGGAAGTGTCACCTCAGGGTACTCTGGAGGAGCTGCAGTCTGCTGCAAGGCTGTAGAATGTTTGACCTCCGTAGTAGGTTCTGGAGTGAAGGTAACACCCAGGTCCAAAGGTTCGACTGTGACATTCGGTGACAGTGGATGCTGAACTTGATCCTGACCTGGAGGTGGAACTGTCAACTCCTGATACAATTGAGGTTGAACTATAACCTCATTAGGTGGCTCTGGAGGCTGAATTGGGGTTTCTTGAATGATTGGAGAAGGTTCAGCCTCGATACTGGATTCTGGAGTTATGATAAGTCCCATGTCCAAAGGTTGAACTGTGGCTTCTGTTAGGTTTGGATGCTGACTCTGAACCTGCTCTGGATGTGGAAGTGTCACCTCAGGGTACTCTGGAGGAACTGTAGAACGTTCAATTTCTGTAATAGGTTCTGGAGTTAAGGTAAGGCCCAGTTCCAAAGGTTCAACTGTGACATCTGGTGATGGTAGATACTGACGTGGTATTGGAACTGTCACTTCTTGATGCAGTGGAGGTTGAACTACATCTTCCTTAGGTGGTTCTGGAGGCTGAGTTGGGTTCTCCTGCATAGTTGGTGGTATTGGAACTGTCACTTCCTGATGCAGTGGAGGTTGAACTACATCTTCCTTAGGTGGTTCTGGAGGCTGAGTTGGGTTCTCCTGCATAGTTGGAGAAGGTTCAACCTCAATATTAGATTCTGGAGTTATGGTAAGTTCTAGGTCCAAAGGTTGAACTGTGACTTCAGACAAGGTTGGATGCTGAACCTGAACCTGCTCTGACCGTGAAAGCATCACCTCAGGGTACTGTGGAAAAGTTGTAATCTGCTGCAGGGCTGTAGAATATTCAGCCTCCACAGGAGGTTCTGGAGTTACGGTAAATTCCAGGTCCAGAGGTTGAACTGTGACATTAGGTGACGATAGTTGCTGAGCTTGATCCTGACCTGGTGCTGGAACTGTCACCTGATACAATCGAGGTTGAAATACAACCTCATTAGGTGGCTCTGGAGGCTGAACTACGACCTCCTTAGCTGGCTCTGGAGGCTGAACTACGACCTCATTAGGTGGCTCTGGAGGCTGAACTACGACCTCCTTAGGTGGCTCTGGAGGCTGAACTACGACCTCATTAGGTGGCTCTGGAGGCTGAACTACGACCTCCTTAGGTGGCTCTGGAGGCTGAACTACGACCTCATTAGGTGGCTCTGGAGGCTGAACTACGACCTCATTAGGTGGCTCTGGAGGCTGAACTACGACCTCATTAGGTGGCTCTGGAGGCTGAACTACGACCTCATTAGGTGGCTCTGGAGGCTGAACTACGACCTCATTAGGTGGCTCTGGAGGCTGAACTACGACCTCATTAGGTGGCTCTGGAGGCTGAACTACGACCTCATTAGGTGGCTCTGGAGGCTGAACTACGACCTCATTAGGTGGCTCTGGAGGCTGAACTACGACCTCATTAGGTGGCTCTGGAGGCTGAACTACGACCTCATTAGGTGGCTCTGGAGGCTGAACTACGACCTCATTAGGTGGCTCTGGAGGCTGAACTACGACCTCATTAGGTGGCTCTGGAGGCTGAACTACGACCTCATTAGGTGGCTCTGGAGGCTGAACTACGACCTCATTAGGTGGCTCTGGAGGCTGAACTACGACCTCATTAGGTGGCTCTGGAGGCTGAACTACGACCTCATTAGGTGGCTCTGGAGGCTGAACTACGACCTCATTAGGTGGCTCTGGAGGCTGAACTACGACCTCATTAGCTGGCTCTGGAGGCTGAACTACGACCTCATTAGGTGGCTCTGGAGGCTGAACTACGACCTCCATAGCTGGCTCTGGAGGCTTAGCTGGGGTCTTCAGCACAGTTGGAGAAAGTTCAACCTCTGTAATCAGTCCTGGAGTTATGGCAAGCTCCAGGTCCAAAGGTTGAATTGTGACTTCAGTCAGCTTTGAATGCTTAGCTTGAACCTGCTCTGGATGTGGAAGTGTCACTTTAGGGTGCTTTGGAGGAGCTGTAGTCTTCTGCAGGGCTGTAGAGTGTTCAATCTCTGCAGCAGGTTCCGGAGTTATGCTAAGTCCCAAGTCGAAAGGTTGAACTGTGAAACTGGGAAAGTTTGAATGCTGAGCTTGATCCTGTCCTGGAGCTGAAACTTCCACCTCATTATGGACTGGAATTTGTACTACATCCTCCTTAGGGGTCTCTGGAGACTGATGTGGGGCCTGCTGCAGTGATGGAGATGGTTCCATCTTCTCAGGAGGCTCTGATGGCTGAGTCTGGACCACCTGTTGAGTTAGAGACGGTTCCATCTCCTTAAGGGATTTTAAAGGCAGAGCTGGGGCTTCCTGCAGGACTGAAGATGATTCTGTCTTCTCAGAGGGCTGTGGAAGAGCCTCTTCCTGAGTTGGAAGTTTGATCTCTTCAGTGGGCTTTGGAGGATAAGCTGAGACCTGTTCAGTTGAAGATGATTCAATCTCCTTAGGGGGCTCTGATGGCTCGGCCAGGGCCTCCTGTTGGAATGAAGAAAGTTTCATCTCTTTAGGAAGATCTGGAGTCCGAGCTATGGCCTCTTGTTGACCTGGAAAAGATCCAACCTTTTTAGAGAACTCCGAAGACTGGAAAAGGGACTTGGACTGGGTTGGAGAAACTTCAACCTGATTAAAGAGAACTGGAGATTGAGCAGGGGTCTCCTGCTGTACTGGAGAATGTTCAACTACCTTAGTGGTCTCTGGAGTTATGGAAACCCCCAGATCCAGGGATTTAACTGTGATATTAGGCAACACTGTATGCTGAGTTTTACCCGAACCTAGAGGTGAAGATGTCACCTCATGATGTACTGAAGGTTGAGTCACAACATCCGTAGAGGATTGTGGAGGCTGAGTTGAGTTCTCCTGCTGGACTGGACAAGGCTCAGTTTTTTCAGAAAGATTTTCAGGCTGATTTGGGACTCCTTGCTGGATTGGACAAGGTTTACCATTTTTAACAGGGGTTGGATGCTGATCTGGAACCTCTTGCTGGGAGGACAAAGTTTTCAACTGCTCAGGGGCCAGTGTAGACTGTGTTGAGGATTCTTGTCGGGGTGAAGAAGTTCCAACCACATTAGTGACCTGTGGAGTTACGGTAACCACCACATCCACAGGTTGAACAGTGATATTGGACAACTTCGGAAGCTGAGCTTGAGTCTGACCTAAAGAAACAACTGTTGTATGATGCACTGGAGAGTGAACTACATCTTCCTTAGAGAGCTCTGGAGACTGAGTTGGGGCCTCCTGTTGGGTTGGAGAAGGTTCAACGTCTTCAGTCTCTTCAAAGGGCTCTGGATACTGAGTTGGGGCTGCAGAAGTTTCGCCCTCCTCTGGGGCCTGAGGGTGCTGAGCTGGAGATTCCTGTTGGGTTGTAGAAGGTTCACCCTCCTCAGAGGTCTGTGGAAGCTGACCTGAGGCCCTCTGCTGGGTTGCATTAAGGGGCACTGAAGGCTGAGCTTCAGCCTCATGCTGAACAGAAGGTCCCACTGCTGTAGTGGTTTCTGCTGTTATGGTAAGCTGCATATCTGCAGGTTTGATAGTAACATTGGGCAGGTTTGAATGCTGAGCATGATGGTGACATGGAGTTGAAACTTTCACCTCATGATGTTCTGGAGGTTGAGTTGGTTGTTCCTGCTGGTTTGGAGATTGTTTCACCTCCCCAGGAGAAGGCTCTGGAGGCGGAGCTGGTTGCTCCTGCAGAATTGCAGAAGGTTCTGCCTCCTCTGGAGACTGAGCTGGGGTCTCCTGCTGGGTTAGAGAAGATTCTGCCTCCTTAGGGGGCTCTGGAGGCTGAGCTGAGGATTCCCCTTGGGTTTGAGAAGGTATAGCACCAAAAGGCTCTGGAAGCTGAGGCGGGACCTCCTGCTGGGTTGAAGATTCAATATCCTTAGTAGGCTCTAAAGTTACAGTAAGTTCTATAACCTTGGGTTTAAGTGTAACTTTGGGCAAGCTTGATTTATAAGCTTGAAACTGATCTCCAATTCCTCTTATTCCATCACTCATTGGAATGGTAAAGACTGCAGGTGTGACCTCTTCATGGGGTTGTGCATACTGATCTGAGGCCTCTTGCTGGAGCGGGAAGGATTCAACCTCCTCAGGGGGCTCTGGCAATGGCTCAGCCTCCTCCTGGACTGGAGAAGGTTCGACCTCCTCAGGGTGCTCTAGAGGCTGAGCCATTGCCTCCTCCTGGACTGGAGAAGGTTCAGCCTCCTCAGGGTGCTCTAGGGGCTGAGCCAGGGGCTCCTCCTGGACTGGAGAAAGTTCAGCCTCCTCAGGGTGCTCTAGAGGCTGAGCCAGGGGCTCCTCCTGGACTGGAGAAGGTTCAGCCTCCTCAGGATGCTCTGGAGGCTGAGCCATTGCCTCCTCCTGGCCTGGAGAAGGTTCAGCCTCTTCAGGGCGCTCTGGGGGCTGAGCCGGGGGCTCTTTCTGGACTGGAGAAGGCTCAGCCTCCTCAGGGCTCTCTGGGGGCTGAGCCAGGGGTTCCTTCTGGACTGGAGCAGGTTCAACCTCCTCAGCGCGTGTTGGAGTTACAGTAAGCTGCAGATTAACAGTGACACCATGCAAACGTAACTGCTGCGCTTCAACCCGACTTGGAGATGCAACATTTCCCTCCTCTGAGGCTGGAGAAGTTTCCACTTCCTCAGGGGCCTCTGCACGCCGAGCTGGGGGTTCCTGCTGGACTGAAGAATGTTCAACCTCTTCAAAGGTATCCAAAGGCCCAGGTGGGGATTTTTCCCGCTCTGAAGGCAGTTCCAATTCCCGAGAAGACTCTGGAGGTTGAGATGGAGCCTC